CCTGGTAGAGTGACGACTGTTGAGGGAAAAATATTGGAATCCAGTCAACCTGAGTTGATAAGTACTGAGAGGCGAGAAGCGGGTCCGGGTTTGTGGGAGAGAAGGAGCTTAGTCTCGGCACGGCTGGACTTGAAGTCGACCGAGTCCAAAGAGGTTGAGATGGGTAATTATGTTTCGAGTCTGCCGTTATAGGCCGGCCGTCCATTAAAGATGGGCCCCGCACAAACAACCGAAAGGAACTTGGCTGGGGATAGTCAAACAAGTGGCTAGACACGCGACTGTCGACAACAAATACGACCTGTCTTTCGTCTGTTGTTATCGTCTGCGGCAACAAGTCGACGATCGTGAGCCGAAGCCTTTATGACTAGAGGTAAATGTCGACTTGAGCAGTTGGTCTACCAGTAGAAACGGCAGGGACAATGACAACCGAAAAATCGGAGGGATCGGCAACGCGAGGCCAAAAAAAGGAGCGAGTTGGGTGGTTCTGCGTTAACAGCTCACTTTTGTGCGCTCAAGTTCGGAACAAGCCCGGGATCGTTATGAATATAGAAGGCTATGGAATGTCTTCACCGCGGCGTAATAGAGGACGGAAAGTTCATGAGGACAAGAGTCTCAGCATTCGAGGAATATCGATGGGATCAATCGCCGAGCAAACTCGCATGAACCGACAGCATCTACTATTGGTTAGGGAGGCCAGACGTGCTAAAGGGAAGAAAGGGACAAAAGATTCAATTGAGGGAACGAGTGAAATAAGCAACACAGGCACACGAGTCGACGTGTGGGTATAAAGGGGGTATCGCCAGAAAAAGCAGAATAAAAAGAGAAGAAACGATCTAGCCGTCTAACCGCCTAACCGCCGTTATTGCTGCCCGTTCTCTGCCCGTTATAGCTTTCCACTTCCACTTCCACTTTCACGAAGAGGGAGAAGGAGAAGGAGGATCGGTGGAAGAGATACAGAAGTCGTAACAAGCATCGACTATAGGGATAGGTAGAGGTTGGAGGATATGTAGGATAGGATAGGATATGGAAGCGGTGGTAAAGAGGTAAGTGGTAAGGCAGAAGGCGGTTTCCAACACGGGAGCCAGGCAAGAAAAGATAAAATAAAATAAGTAAACAATATGTAAAAGGTAGTTAGGAGGTAACAATTTAATGGGGTTAGGTAGGTGTGATGTAGGCAGTGGAGGTTTAAGGTTAGGTTCAATGTTAGGTGTAGGTAGGTTAAGTTGGCATTTGGCATTTAGCATTTGGCTGAAGGGTGATGAAGCGAAAGTGCATTGCAGATGCAGTGCTTGTCTCTTTCTCTCCTCTACATGCCTGTACTGTTAGGTAATGTGCAATGTACAATGTGCGATGGCCCGTACGCTAGTATGCAGTTACCAGCTAGAGCTCGGAACAGCCCTGGAAGCAATGATAGAATGGGTTTATCGGAGGGTTGAAGGCGGGTCGTCCCAGAACCTGCCTCCCCTGTCTGAAGTTCCTGGTACCTGCCTCCTTTGCCCACTAACGTCTCTACCGTTCTCCCTCTCCTGTGCGTAATACGGAGGTATGGCGGTACATATGGCAGTACCTACGTATGGGTAAGCGTATGTAAGTCTGACTGGTCCGAATATGAGGGGGCTAGCGTGCGGAGCGTGGCGCGTGCTCTGAATTTTAGTGGTCATACAGGTCATTGTACATGTACCTTACCTACCTGTAGGTTAGGAAATGTACTTACAAGAACATGCTACGAGGCACGGGCTTCAATTCTACTAATACCTACCTATCAATTGACCTGTCTTCTTGTATGTAGGTCCTTAGCATACTTACATACCTTTGTGCCCTGTGTTACATCAAGACTGGAGGGAGTACATGCCCTAACAGCATGTGGCAAGCATTGCAAGTTAGGTACTTAGACGAGAGAGACACACCAACACGGAGAAAAGGGGTCAACAGGGTGTTCGGGGTTTAGGGAGACCGCAACGGCGTTGAAGATACCTACCTATGTTAGGGACATCACGTTACAAACTACTAAGGTACCTAACCTATTATAAAATCCATGTTAGATGTTAGATAAAGATAATAAGCGCAGATCAATTAACTCCCTAGACCTGGAGGTAGGCAGTGTGAACCTACCTTTTGTAGCCAACCAAATTAAACGGCACAAGTATATGTATGTCAAAGCCATGACCGCGACTCGTATCCGCGAATTGAAGGCCATGAAAGTAGATCGATACATGCCTACTAAAGTAGGGGGCAGGTTAGGTAGGCTACTACCGAACTCTTCGCATTGTCCGACCTAGGCTATTATAGTAGCTTTCAATACGGGCTACGGGCTACAAATTACGGTGGCATAAAGTACATATGTACAATACCAGGAGTACCTAATGCATGTAGGTAGGTTAGGTACCTAACATATCCCATACCTTTTAGAGTGGCAGAGTGGAAAGAGGTATTTACAATTAGTATTAATTTCATGTTCTTTCCTAATGTTTTTTCTCTTACCGGACCTAAAACTGGCAAGAGTATTATTAATAAGCTCCTATTAATTTCCTTAGGTAGGTGGGTTCGCGTTTGTTTGCACTTTGCATTTTGCATCGAACGATTTATTTCCTCCAGTGATTCCCCAGATGCATACATTAGTAGCATCCAATCCTTTTCGCCGCTTTTTGACATGATGCAACTTCATCTACATCCTACCTAACAAAGAAACTACTATACGCACATACGTAAGTAGGCCAGCTGAGTCTCCTATAATTGGTCACAGTCGAGCCTATTTATTTAATATGTCTAGTGTTAGGTACACACTGCAATGAGAACACCCAAGTAACCCAAGTAGCCAAGTCCCTGAAATCTTAGGTACAATACCTTCGCCACCTTCATATATATCGGCCGACGTGTAACATAACATGTGTAAGTCCTCAAGTGTAAGGCCGACTTTCTTTTACTCTTAGGTTAACCTAGGTTAGGTCTGTATTTCACTGAATGACGTTTGGATCCAACCCAAGCCTCTGGTGAGATCTCCAATCTGACCGAGACGTTCTTTAGTCGAAATGCGAACCAAGCACATGGAATAGCCCATGTCCCTGTCGATCAGTCGCTAAACCTCCAGACTGCATTGAATTCCTTGCTAATTCGCAGCAACTAGCTAATGTTGGTCAAGTCATCCGTCATGAGGCTTGTGAAAGTTCTCTTACAACTTGAAAGTTATAAGTCTCCAGATGTCAAGTCGCAAAGAAGAAATACATACCTACCTAGGTACAATCGTTATAGTATCAACTATAAAGATGGATAAAGAACCCTTTAGAGTCCTTAGAGACCCTCCGTCGATATGACAATATGAATGATTATGGATTATGGGTGGTAGTACACCACGCAGAGTACAAGTGATGTAACCGACCTCGTCAGCCTGTCACCTGCAACTCATGAGCCACGCATCCTTGTTGTCCTCGCCTATTTAGGACACTTTGAAAGAAATGACGGACTAAACCAACTACGCAAAGCTAAGCATGGCCAGATGAGATTTATTGCATTTTAGGAAGTATCCGAAGTTCTACTAGGTCGCATTTTCGTGCTACAAACTTCTCTATATACATACCTACATGTAAGTGGTTATTCACTTTGACGTCATTCACTAATTCCTACCTTAGGTACCTAGGTATGTAACGTAGGTACTTGGGGATATCGGCCTAGATCCTCTTGGCTGATCTCCCTATGTGTACCTAACATATCCAGGTTAGTACATACTAATTAGGAATCCGACTCTTTTTTTATTATTTTATTTTATTCTATTTTTTATGTTTTTTAAACCCGGATTCATTGGCCTAAAGTTAGAAAGGCCATTTGTGCACTACGCCTCATCAATCAGCGAATCTGACATAATTTATTCAGAAAGGTAAGTCTCATTAGATATTGCCATCATAAGCTAACATTGAAGGAGAGGACGAGTAGATTCTTTGCCCGCACCTCGACTTGCTCTCCGATTTGGCGTCATCACTAGAAAATAGCGGAACTTATCCGAGTAGCTTACATTGTCGTAGACAAGTGCTATCCCCAAGTTCCTTGGGCGGCTGAGATTTATCTTCATGGTACCTACCTATGTACTTAGGTAGATATACTATTGGGATAAGTAACAGGCAAGCAAGCAACGAAGCAGCGCTGACATCGATTCCCAATAGCTTAGTTGCGGTTCTCTTTGTTACACCTCAGCCGGCTATCCCGTCTACTTTCCTATTATGACAGTAAGGTGCGCTTAACCTGTCTACCTCGATCCACCGGACCAGCTCATGTTTTCTCCTTTTGGCAACATAGATATGGAAGAATTCAAAGTACAATTTCTTTGATACTACCGATATCTAGCCGGGACGATAACTAAGCGTTCTAGACTTGGAGGCCTGGCTATTCTGTGCTGAAGCTCGGGTCTTACGATGAATAATTTGTCACTGGGAAGCTACCCTCATATAATCACCATCGAATAATCGTAGACACAGCAATGGTCGGAATAATGCGGTGCAGATAATAACTTCCAAGTGCTCTTGACGTCCGAGATTTTGCTGCTGCGGAATTGGAACTCCGAAAACATATCGCAATTCATCTTCCGCTAGCAAAATTGACTCCTACGACGAGCATGCCGTTGACAAAGAAATACCCTAGAGTTCCTGTAAAGGACTTCCATGTCTTAACTTGAAACCACCAGTATTCCAAGGTTACAACGTGCAGGCTCGGTCTCCATTTAAAGGCCAGTTGTTCAGGGGCTGAGAGCATCGGAGCGCCGTACACGATAGAAGATTTATCCGTCCGCTTCTACATACACGTGTATACATAGGACAAAGGAATTCAATAACCAGGGCTGCCAGGATCGTCTCAAGCTCTTGGCCAACCCCGCGTATCTGCTACCGCAATTGAATTGCTACTAATCCCGATTGGACTAAATTCACAGACCTTCGACGCATGCTTGGCATCAGCCTCGTGAAATTCAAGGGGTCCAGCCAGGGGTTTAATCTTCAGACCAGCCTCAGATCACTAGGAATGGTTGAGACGGACCCTGTATCAAGGAGTTCCATCAGCCTTGTGTCCTGGCGTCGGGGATGTTTCTTTCGTTTTGCGTTTCTCTTTTCTTTTCAGCTAGTTAACGTTAGCTATTCTTTAATAGATATTCGTTTGTTCCTCTCGTTTCTCCTAAGATCTACACTATATAACTATTGTAATCCTGTTCTCTACCCATTTGCTATCGCATTGATTTCATTTACCCTATTCTTCTAGCGCAGATCGTGAGAGTCCAAGATGTTTACAAGCTTGACTACAAAGCTGGCGATGAAGAAGGTTGGGCTGTCGAGCGACGCTCTGGACTTCTCTTCGTCCAAATCCAGCAAATCCAACGACGGTTCCGTGCCAGGTCTCGATGACTTGGAAGGATCTAATTCAAGCTGGCCGGCGTGGATGAGTACGAAAAAACTTCCCCTTACTGCGCAAGCCTGGTTATCGCCAGTTCCTCCTCCGGTTCCCATTGCCGAGTGCCCTAAACCGGGTGACCTAGCTCCCATCGATAGAGATCGCCAACTTTCCTTTGGTGGTGGAAAGCCGACCATAGTTCTCTTCCTCCGCTGCGTAGGATGTGCCTGTATGGCTCGGCCTCCACTGTCACACCCGCTTAATACTAACTAGATTGAAATCACAGTTGCGCAAAAGTCCTTCTTAGCCCTCAGAGACCTCGCCATAAAAAACCAAGGCAGACTGAGGTGCATAGCCGTGTCACATTCTTCACGGGATGCAACACGCAAGTGGCTTGATATACTGGGCGGTGCGTGGAACGTCGAAGTAGTCATCGACGAAGACCGCGCCATCTACGCCGCGTGGGGGTTAGGGCTGGGAAGTATATGGTACATGTTCAACCCCACCACGCAAATACAGGGCTGGAAGGAGAAGGGCTGGCTGGGCATAAAAGTAGCCAATTCCGTTCAGCGGACAAGCAGCTTCAAACAAGGCACTCCTAGCACCGAGTCAGCAGATGAAAATGAGGGGCCGTCGACAGTCATGGGGAATAAATGGCAACAGTCTGGGCTGTTTGCTATCGACGGGCACGGAGTAGTAATATGGGCTACAAAAGCAGTCCGCGCGGATGACATGATGGATCTAAGTGCCGCAGCAACGGCGATTGGTATCCAACCAGCCGACTAGGATATGCTAAAGTGTAATGAACGCATGAATGGACGAAATGAATATAATAACTTGTACTACCAGTATTAATGTGAGGTAAAATGACACGAATTTAAGGGGTATGGGGTGGGCGTATGTATAGGCGGTGAGCAACTCGGCCCATTCCTATTCCAATTCTAGGTGCCGGCGGGCACTGACCATCCCCGGGGTATTGTACAATTGACGATATCTCGCTAAGTTAAAGCTGGGACCAGGCGGCTCCATAACTCGGGGTTTACTCCCCCCCCCCCCCCCCCCTTTCGTATCATGGGAGTCATAAGTCCCATATATATTGATGGCTGGACTAAACCACATTTTCCCAGGAATTCATGAACATATATATGTATATTTATATACGAGGTATGGCTAAACCATTTAACCTTCTTTACACTATAAATGCAAGGCGCCTCTTATCTGAGTAAGGGGCGGTTTTTGCCAAAAGCCAAGTTTGGGATATAGCTACCTGTTATACGATATCGGACAACATACAGCCCCGCACCAGTAACTTCGCATTTAAATAAACGTGATAACTAGACGATCTTTAAGATGATGTCGAAGGCGCTTGTGATAAGACGACGTATTAAACGAAAAAAAAAAAAAAAAAAAAAAAAAAAAAAAGGAGGTCATTTTATAAGACGAAGCTACCCACGCCGTACCTTTAGCTTACATAGCTCTCATTACTTGAGTAACCAAAATAAATCGAACGTAAGTGAGTACGATGGGGATATATAATAAAATTATAATATAATACTCTCAACCCTCATAAGCACTCCGCTCTCACCTAGATAGTGAGGAAGGATAGCCATAATCGGTTAAGCCAGTACATCAATATTGAATATAGCCATTGCGTTCCATCTCTTACGAAGCCAGATGCTGTTAACATACTACAACCTAGATTAAAGGAAGTACCTAGACTGATACTCTAGCAACAGCCTAGAACGTTCCAGGAAAGCCACAAGTTATCAACATTGAATACCAAGTCAGAAAATTTGATTACTTCGGTCGATTACTGAGTACCACTTACACATCGAAGTAGCGAATACATTGGCACTAGTCAACTCCCTACTCATGGCCTAATCATAGATTCTTGGGATGTAATACCAGCGGTCAACAAGGCTAGAGTCTTTACCCGTATACAATTAAACGTACAACTACTAAAACATACAAAAAATACACACCTGGATATAAAACATGATCTTCAGGGTTTGGGTATGAAGAAGCCTTTAGTTATATAAAAAGCAAGATGTTACGATTGCTCGCACTGAACCTATCGCTTAAACGGCTTTCGACTCATAGAAACGAACTTAATCACACTTATATTCACTTCGTAGTTTATCTAGCCTCGGCATCAAAAATCCCTTCGCTTGAAATCTCGAGCAATGCCTTTGACGGTTAATCAAGTATTTCATGTGTCATCTGCAACCTATGCGCCTGGCTTTTCTCTAGTATTAATATGGTACGGTGACTCTTATAGGGTTTATATTACCTCAACTCTCAAACAATATTATAGCAGGATCCAAATAGGCTTGAACTTAATCTTTATGAGATGGGGTTGATTTAATATCACTCCTAATTCTTGATCTATCATATAGACCTCATTATCTTGTCCGTAGTGTGATATGCACATGGTACCGTAGTATAATCTCATCAAGAGAGAGAGAGAGAGAGAGAGAGTAGACTCACTAACTTAAAATAAAAGATAGTCAAGGTAACTTCATAGAGAAGGCTTACTAAACACATACGTCGACGACTCCCCTACTCAGGTATCTACCCACCTTCACTTCAAAATTAAATAACGAGATCTTAGACGGACTGGACTTGTTAAGGCACGTAAAACATACATATCACGGAAACGATTCAAAACCTAGAAGCTCATAAATCCAGTTATAATGCCGTAGATGTTGCCAGTCCATTTTACCAGATTGTGATGCCCGATCGATCGATGTGCCAAACTCCCTCATGCGGACGCAACCACCTACCTACCTACCTAACTACCACCATGATAGCACAATGTATCTCCCCCTAATGCTTACGCAAGGCACCGTGAAATAGACGCGATGATAAAAAACCAAACTCTACGCGCAACCATCTTCCATTAACCGGCCCATTTTAAAAATCAACGAAAGGAAAAACACCGCCATGCCGCCGACAAAAAAAACACCCCTGATGTAGTCGATGCCCTTTCATCCATCCAAACCCCTTCGATTGTTGAGATTGATACAACAGTTGGAGGGCAGGCAGCGCCCCTTGGTCCACCAAGCGCAACTCTGACTTGCCCTCGACAAACCACCGAGTCCTGCCTATATGACCTTCAACTGTTTTCTGTAGTATCGCATTAATGGGAAATTATTTCGACCCGGGGATTTCCATTCCGACACGCAACCAAAGACCGAGAGAAAAGATCGCAACCGCAAACACAAACCGCCACTGCCCTTGTCCCTAACCTTGTACCATTTGCCGTGTCATTTTCATAGAATTTCCGGTCCGCTCTTTTCGGTGCTTCCATCCAGCCCAACCTTTGCAGGTGCTAATAAGGAACCAAACCGCCTTATATATTCGTTCTTGTAGAGGGGTGTCGCAACGCCTGTTAGCTGAAAGGCTCGAAAAATGGAGGTATCGTAGGTCGTAGAAAAAGAAGAATCGCAGATAACTCCAAAACGAAAAATTGTTTTCCGCCCCTGTTTTACCAAATCTTTGTTTCCGTGTCGTCAAAGGCCTGAACACCCATGCTGATGCTGGATATACGTATCCCTCACCCCATGCCTAATCAACCTGAACACCAATTTTGTGCCAATTCAATCATTCACCCTTGATGGTATCTCTTGCCATGAAAGCTCAGATTAGCACCTCATCACTTAGGTCTTCGTGACACTACTTTGTTTCCTAACCCCAAACGCTAGCCTGAACGCCCAAGTTCGATTTACTTCCCCAAACGCCTGAGCGGTTGCTCCATCCGTTGTATCCGTCTGCTGCAGCACTAGGCGGGTTAGAAGGAGCAGAAGTAGTTGATACACTTTGATTAACGTCATCCCCATTGCTCGAGGCGGTGAAGCCGTGGCTTAACGGCGACGGCAGGGGAGTTGTCGAACGCTTGTTCAAGGCCGGATTAGTAGCCTGAGAAGCCGCCGACGGACGAGTGCCGATAGGGGCTACCGCGTTCCCGCTCTGACCTGGCTTAGAGATCCCTCCAGCCCGAGGCGGGGACCCACCAGTTGGGGATGAGTTGCTGGTACGATTAGCTTGCTGGCCGACAGCACTATCGAAGATACCCATATTGGCCGGCGGGTTCGACTGGGGGCTTGCGTTGCTGTTGGCGCGGGAGAGACCCTGCGTCTCATTAGGTTGCGATGCGCCTTCGGAGGCGTTGGGAACCCCCTGTCGTCCGTAGTCGTAAGCTAAGGGGGAAGGGCCACGGTGACCGGAGGTACCAGTGGGCAAGCCAGGTACTCCGGATCGAGTCACGCTGGATTCATCGGGATAGCTACCCTCGCCGCCGAAAAGCGCACTACGCTGGCGTGCGATCAAATCACGACGTTCGTCTTCGGACATGCTGCCAGGGCTTAGAGCGCGATCAGGCTTGCTGTTATAAGAAATATCAGAAAGAACATCTGTAAAGACGGTGAGTTAGCGTCTCTTCGCAAGGGTATAATCAGATGTGCAGTGCTCCGAGGACTCATAGTAACATATCGAAACAGGGTTTACATGGATTTAAGACATAGTAGAAACATCGCGTGTGAAGTCAGGGAAGATAGGGAACAAATTGACCCCGCCGAAAGAATTTTCTTTTCTTGATTTGCGATGCAAATTTTGTGCTATACAGAAGAGGGCGGCCTACTTCGGTTAAATTGCTGCTCTTGATGATAGTTGCGAAGCTCTCGCTCCCGTTGAGCCGCCATCCTCCGCTTGGCCTGCATCATTTGTTCCGCCTCGTTGGAGCCGCGCGAAGGCTGGTGTCGTTGCGCGGCATAGAAATTCTGCAGGTTCGGACCAGGGTGGCCGGCTCGCGGGTCGCCAAACTCCACGGAATGCGGCCGCGGGCCATGACCAGACGCAGCCCGTCCATCTACATGGCAATTAGTACCAATTCCCAGACGAACTCCCACCCAATCTCCGTGACACATTCAGTGTGCCTTGTTTCGTTTTAGAGCCATCATCGGGGTAAACTCACGTCGCCCTGGCGGACCGTACAACTTCCCGCTCTTAACCAGATTATCGACGGCTCGCTCAACCTCTGTAAACCAGTTTCGTCAGTATAAAAAAAATATAGCCATGGAAATGATCGCAGAAGATAAGGTATTGATCACGCATGGTACGATTTGCTTGGACCGATATCAACGATGAATATTTCGACGAAGATTTCGGTCATACGAAACGTCTTGATACATGCGCGTCTTATTCCGTCTACGTTCTATTCTCTCTCTCTCTCTCTTTGTCTTTCGTTCTTTTTTTACGTACCCTCAAATTGGTAGGCAAATGCGATCGACTCGACTTCGCGTGGGATGGCAGAGCTAGCACCTAATATAATTGCGTTAGCTAATATGACCTAGATAATGATTATAATCGATCTTGTGACTTACCAGATCGCGCCGGTGGCGGAGGAGGAGTTTGATGATCCCAAGTTGTTTGGGATGGACCAGCGCCCGCCCATTGAGAATCTCCGTAGTATTGCTGCGACATTATGTCCACTTTTTGAGGTTGACTTGACGTCGATGGTCGAATCTTGATTAGGAGGTAGATTATCGAAATTCAGGTTGATAGTCGACAACGCCTTTGACGTAAGGGACTTATTGATTCTCCTATATATTTCGGGTTAGCTTTGCCATGACCATGTGGTAGTTTGACAATCAACGGCACGGATAATAAACAACACTAAGTATATTGTGCTAAATAAGTTGACGTCTGATGGCTAAGGTAGGAAGAGTAATCATAGGGCATGAGTGGTTTCCGTATTCCTTGTTGATGGGCATTCCCTCTTCATGAATTTATTATTCCGAACCCAACTGTAGGGATCAAGGTCGGTTGTTGACAGCAGCCGACAATAAAAAACAAAAACTTTAAAAAGTCTTCCGCCTCGGGTACTGATGTCGCTATCTCTTTATTCCCCTCCAAGCGCGTAAACGCAAAGAGTTCGGTAGTGGTCGCGCGAGAGGGGGCGGGAAAAAAAACCGAGAAAATTGATAAAAAAAAATCATATGCAATAAAATGTCTCTTGTTTCGCAACTTACCAGAAATCTTTAGCCCAAGTATCAATTCTTTAGGCGACACCCGGTTAGCTTAGCGAAGGGATATTCGCCAAGTTCTATGAGGAAGAAGAATAAGAAAATGAGGTTGAAAAAAGAAAAATAACTTGCACCACACAATTGCGCTGCACACACGCGACGGAAGACGAGACGTGGATTAAGGAAAGGGAGGCAGGCGGCAACGGTAACGGGAGACGGCTACCTTCAAGTAATTAATAGGAGAGAGGTACCTAATAAGAGAAATTATCGGAGGGGGGGACAAGAGGTTGTATGTAGTTGATCAACCAGACCGGGTCAGAATGGGGAATTGGGGGGGTTAAGAGGTACTTCCCGTACTCCGTGTACAATACTATACTTATCTGGTACGGTGATGCTACCTCCAAGGTCCCTCATGAATTATGTGTTTAAATTATTTATTAGGCTTACCTAAGGTACTGGGTTAGCGAGTAGGTACCTATAAGTACGAGATCTAAGAGGTAAGGTACCTACATATGTATATCCATATATCCATAAATGTATCTAAGCAGGTAAGAACTTTACCTTAGTAGCATCCCATTGGAGTGGTCCTTGAGGCTTGTTGGACTCTCTCCAGTACACTATTATTTATAACGTTTGTAGACTTCCAATGTGCAATGGTGGACCAGACGATGGTGATGATTTTTAATGGGGCACAGCCTAGGTAGTATTTCACTGGTTAATCTTTGGTCCTGAGGATTTTTCGAGACGTTTTTTTTCTTTCTTCTGTACCTAGGTGGTAGGTATGTAAGAGTGGACATCATCCTCTTCCTTGTAAGGAAAATTTACTACCAGGGGACCATTACTGAAAAGGCAACGTTGACTGAGATGGTAGGACAAAATACTTGTGGGGAAGGGAATGAGGCCGTAATAGGCCTAGTGGCTCAAAGAAATCTTAAACACACATTCATCCTTCCTGCCTTCGTCGTCCCTTCTTCTATTTCTATTCGATGAGAGTTCCAGTACTTACATACATTAGCTACATGCATTTTACACACGCACTTACACAGGTGACAGCTGTCATTGATGATTCGATCTCCATAAGGAACATAGGTATTCCCCTCCCCCCTTTTCTCCAAGACTTTGAGAGCGAGACGGTGAAAATGCAAGATTCAATCTCTCTCCGGCAATATTAATAATTCTAATCCGACTCTACGCTTGTCTATTCGCGTCCAGCATTAACAGACTTAATCCAATTGATTAAGCTTATATGAACCTTGTACGGGCTATATGTTATTAATAGAGAACGGAAATTAAGTCTTTAATATTTAAGACTCATGCTCTTAAATATCGGCATATCAATGAAATGAGGACAATAAGATGGTATTATAAAAGTTCTATTTAAATTTACAGTCAGTGGTGCGACAGTCCTGGCTTTAGGAAGCGGCTGTTAACTCGAAAAGACAAAAAAAAACCGAATGGTCTAACCTACGGAATACCATCGAAAAGATCAAAGCTGAGGGGCATACGCTACTATCTTTCCAGGGCATCCTACCTAACATATGTAGAAATCTAACTAGCAGAGCAGGGTTTACAGGGTGGTGCCTGCTAGTAATCAGCGGGAACCAAAATCTACAATTATGTACGTTTAACCTTGCCAACTCCATCCTTTTAACAGTCGTCACCCTGCAGCATTTTACATCGATTGAATCCACCATCCTTTAAATGTTCTCAGATATGTTAGGTACCTAACCTTAGGTACCTATACCCAATATAGTATCCAGTAAGACATACGGCAATCCATTTACACAAAATGTACGCTTCTACTTTGCTTAGACTAAGGTATCTACCCCTATGGGATGTCATCGTTGTATTTTAACAGGAAGAAATATGACCAGAATAAAAATAAAGAGACAAGTCATCAAAGACCGACCTGAGCACAAAGCCAGCGTCGGAGTTTATTGCCGTCTGAACCGCCTATTTCACAAGTGTTTTGTTCCGTTTGGTTAGGTACCTACATACACTATATGTATAAGGCATTAGGTATCATGACCCCCACAGCACCCATAGCACCCACCTATTCTTCTCCATGGCAGTATGGGAAGGTACTGCGCAAGGGGAGACAGGTAAGGTACTTTTAAGATACGGTTACGTCCATATGAGTTCTTTTCCCTCCCCACATCTCAGTTAAGTCTAAATTTCGTCAATTTCTCTACCTTACATAGTAAGTAAGGTTAAATGATGAAAGCATTCCCGTTTTGTCTCGGGTCGCAACTTGGACCCTGCGGCCTGTTGAAACTTGAGGCTCCAGGTACGTTTCAAACTTCAAATCATATCAATTCTTTAGGCGCTCTTGAATAGCACGAGCCTCATCTTTACTTGACCGCTTCATACACGTTTACCTACACGTCTACCTACATATGATCCCTCAAGACCCATGAACAACTAGAGGGGACCAAACGACACATATGAATACGTGTAAGTCTAACCCATTAACGTATCATTACCATCGATAGTATTTTTTATTTTTTATTTTTTCACAATATTAGGCGAAAAGGGAAAGGCACGGACGGATTCTTCAAATACATATGTTCTTATTATTAGCTGCTTATTGCCGCATTACATATACACATTCATCTTTTCTTATTAACGTTCACCTTCGTCGACTTCGCGCGAAAGAATTTCGAGAAGGAAATATAGAAGAGATATTCAGATCCTTATGCGGTTTTCTGTCGTTACGTGTGGTAAACATCGTCATGTAGCATTGTTCTACTCTTCGAAGGAATACTTCATACGGTGCAACGGTATCCAAAAAATACCCTCTTCACGGCGCGGATACCGCCAGTTCATACCGACATAGAAGCGTTACACGGCTGTCGAAGACTGTAAGTCCGCACATATACATAAGAGCCAATGGCTATGGAGTATACTTTGTTGTTGGGGCCGTCTCATCAAGTATCAACCTACTTCGGGGCCCCTATTTGGGCTGCCGAGCCCTTGGTAATTCTTAAATAATTGACACTGGCCGCATGACGAAACGAACTGATCGAATTTCAAGTTTCATTCGGTTAAGAAGTACCGAAGCGAGAGGAATTTCCCCAAGTTCGCATCTGGCCTTACGACGAGCCAAATCTTGCGCATGCATACATGGAAATGTACCAACCCCTTGCCTATCACCTCATGGACGAGATCAAGATCCCAGTCAAAACAGTAAGCGATACTTGGATACTTCGGTTGAGCTACATGTGTAAGGTACCTACCTACATATCGCCTATCTGACGCCATCTGGTCTATTTCATGGCCCGCGGGAAATAGTTCTAGAACAGAACCTCTCAGGTTGGTACATATATCTTCCGCTTAGTTCTCGTCAGTGCCGTTTTCGACATAGGTATTGATCATCAGACCGGTGCTTGTAACAGTTGCCCGCCATTACCTCACACCACCCCTTACGTATAGGACAACGCAGCACATTAAAAACGTCCATCCTGCAGCATGCGAGAAGCGCCGCGAGCGCTGATCCAAAAAGAGCTAACCGTCTGCGTAGGCTTGGCATCTCGCAGCTCGTACGCAGGGATTTCTATGCATAATTTAACATGTAAGTCTACCTAGGCAGGTACCTACTAAAAACAAGGGAACACCATCCACTACTAAACGGTTCGCTATATACAAGCTCACGTGGATGTGAACTCCAAATATACCACCCAACGATATGGTTCATCAGTGCGGCGGCTATTAGAGAGCATAATGCATTTGTTCAATACACATAGGAGCCGAGCAAGACGCTATAGCGCAATAAGTCATCGCAACCGGAACCCGAGTATCTGGGTAGCCTAGGCTTGTAGACCACCGTAGCAAGTCTGCCATCCACACCCCCCAACACGCAACTGTTCACTCTCCACTCCCCCGGTTTATCTTTCATATGTATCGACCATGCTTCCCATACCATACCTAGCTACGGTCTACTAATGTGAAGGAAACCGGATGTTCTCGGGTTAGCCAGAACTGACGGAGGCTCGAAGTCTCGTAAGCAGATATGTAATATCCCTTTCAACAATCTTAGTTATGGTTCATCGTCTCGCAATTTTCTTATTTTCTTCTTAGCGCCCTTAGCGACGATCAAATTCGGGGTCTTGCTAAAATTTGACCTGGTTCAGTGGCCCTAAATATCCGAAGCTACTAATTTGTGGGATGGTCCGTCGATTTGACCAGTTGAAATGACCTTTTTATTGTCATCAATTAACGGATGGCCTGATCAGATTACAAGGTTCTTACACAGTACGATTCAGGAGTCGAGGTGACCGCCAACAAAAGAGGGTTCCTTCGGCGAGCCGATCGAGAGGGCCTAACCGTTACATATATTTTCCCCGCGAGCTTCCCGAATTGGTAATCTGCTCCTTCGGTTCAATGGCGCTCCCAATTCCTAGACCCCTCCATAGGTAGTTCTATCTACCTACGACCCCATATCGCTCTCATCCCAACAACACCCCTGAGGATAGCCGAAGTAGCGATTCCGATCCCACTACAAATCGAAAATCTAATACTCAAAGCGTTGTTATTGCCACCATCTGTCACTTTTTATTGCCCGCTGCCCTCGATATACATACTCTTCGTAGATCCAATAACTCGCTTCCCATGGACTCGGTCCGCGGGGTGCCTAGTGTATTGACTAGTCAGGCTAAATTAACGCGTAGGGTTACGCTCAACCTGGTTTAAAGGAATTCACATATCAGTAATTCGGGCATTTTTAATCTTCCTTGATAGGTGGTCATTCTACCGAGCTTCAAATTTGGCCGAGTACGCCTTGTAGTACGCTCAACGACTAGTGGAGTACTTAGCCACTATGTAGCCAGGTGGACTATTAAATTTCAATTATCATGGTAGCAAACATAATCTTAAGATAGTATTTGAGAATTAAATGAGAATATAATATGCCTTTATCATCTATGATAGTTTACGACCGCTCACTTAACTTACTTCATCTCTAATTTTCCGATTTGATAGTATTTCGTTATGTGTATGAGATCTCGATATCTTTATGGCCATTTAATTTTATATTGTCATGACCTATGAGACTACATTCCCATTTCTTGAACGAATAGTGACATCTAGGCGGTTTTTTACCTATGTAATTAATTACACTTTGCGTACAAACACAATCGCCTATCCCCGTACGTCCAACTGGGTTTATAGTCTCTATCCAGTATGAGCCGTTGGGAGACCTCATTTGCCAACGGTGACCCCCACTACCTGATCTCTAACATATTTTCCTCTTTGCTTCCTCGGTCAACTTACCCAGCAAATGAGGCTTCCCCGCGTTTGCAGCTCGTAAGGATCCATATGCGAATCATAGCTCCCCGCGCTTAGCGATGACATCTACGATATTCGCCTGAGGGAATCGAAATTCGGCAGATGGGCCGAAAGCAAATGCGTAAAGCTATTTTGTTGATCAATACATGTTGATCAAATATACTCAAGTGATGTAGGTATGTAACTAGAAAGGTAAGGTTCGAGTATCTAAAGCCGGCGCTGGTATTCAGAGGCGACATTATAGGCCTAGGGTGCCCGCGCCACATACACAATCCTATCATTTCATCTTTACCTCGCCAGGACCAAGGCACCGGCCCAGGGAGCATCCGGGGAGACCCGCCCGGCAAGTAGAGTCGTTATGGGCCATAGTACACTCCGATCTAGGGGCCTCATCTAAAGCCTAATAGGTCGAGCGACGAATACCACCAACACATCAAGATCAAGATGTAATTTCCGAGTGTCATTGGTAAAGCACCAGGCACGTGCTTCGACTCTACGCCCAACGACTGATGCGAGAACTGGCTGCCGCCAAGATTCTGCGAGCTCGCGCTGGCGGATCCGGCGCCCGCGGTCGAATCGGCCCAATCGATGGCGAGTGCTGACCTCCTTCTATGTTCCAGCTGACCCGGCATGACATGGTCCCCAGACGCCCGCCCGAGTTTTGGGTTCAGTTGCCTTGCTATTCGTCGGTAAGTCACGTTGTCGGATGAAAGCATGCTCACCGAGCTGATGGGGATTGAGGAGTCTTAATGCTATAACTACTAAATTTTCGTACGCTGTTCTACCTATATGCCAAATGCTATCTTACCTATCAGGCAATTGAATGACAATGCAGGCATGAAACTAAGCTATTGACATGATAACCCAACCCATCCAGGTTGGTTAATGTCTGTCTCATACCCGCCGAGGAACGCGATCTCGGGATATTATAGGGGTAAACTTTCATCTAAGTTACAATATGAACGAATGGTATAAATAGCGATGTTGTAAATCCTGTATTTTATTGCGATGTAGTGTCTCTAACTTAACTTACGAGGAGTACGCTATCTTGAGATCACATATTCTCTAACCTTCGATAGGTAAATGGGAGGCCGCCAATCCTCTTACTTAACACATTTCTGGTACCTTTAAACGAATATAGGGTACGATCAGACTGCTCTTAAACTTATTTAAGGGAGGTTGCTTTTACAGGGCTCCCCAGATGTAGATTTACGAGCCAATATCCGTGAAAGAATCATGTAATCCTCGCTCGCTAGGGAGGCCCTCTTAGTGAGCGGTGCTTTTTATTTGACTGAGTACCTAGGTAGTATAGAATAGTCTTCTTCGGCTAAAGCTTTTAGGGGGCATCTAGCCGCCAGAACCAAGTATAGCACGTGCATAGTTAGTGATGATAGCTTGTCGTAGAGGTCTCTTACATAAATTATTAAGAGTAGTAACTATAATACATTATCTTTTAGTTTTTTATAGGGGACTTGATGACGCTCGTGGGTATAGTTACACTAATCATATTTGCGAGAAGGAGGCTTATAAGGAGATATGTCAATTCTACACCAATACGTATAGTATTCCTTCATCCCTCTAATGTTAGTCCCCCAGAGGCCTTTATAATTGTCGCATATTATGATATTGTTGGAACATGTGGGTTTCTCTATCATTTATAGGTTCTTCCGAAGAGCTTCATGGTCTGTGGAATGATTTTCGAGGAAGGTATTGTAGCTGTAAACATATATCCTAGGAAGCCGATATGATGATATTAAAAGATAGACATTCATATATTGCACTTTTGACTCTCCTCCTATTCAAACGTAGCTCTCACTTCAGAAAAGCTCTTAACATACCCGATACATATACAGTGGTTTGGTTTAACCTTGAATCACATGGTCGGACCACCAAGTCAAACACTTGGATATTATTATGGCTCAGAGACACTATGAGACATCTTGTCTTCTACGAACGCCACGGTAAGCTAATGCGTGTGCCTAAGCCTATCGTGTTCCTAGTCTTCCATGTGGCGTGCTCGTGGGCAGCTTTTAGTTCAGCTGGAAGTCTATATGTATTATCCTCACTGACATCGATTGCTTGTATCAAAAGGCTCCATTCAACATTCTGAAATGGTATTACCTACTGTCCGGCTAGTTTCGTAGAAACTGACTCATAATAATAGGAAAAGAGGAAAAGAAGTAGATAGACAAACGTGAAAATTTAGTGTACCTATTGACGATGAAGCTAAGGCGCCGAATCCCGCGCTAATAAGAATTTAGCAACTACACTGCTGCATAATACTGTTGTGTTCGCCAAAATCCAATGGGAGCTCCCGCTGGCCAGGCCTGGAAACATCTGCTAACCAGCTAACCTAGTGGAGACCGGCGATAACCACGGGGTCTAGCCTAGGGCTAGCCTTGTTTTAGTGTTAGTTAGCTGAAAGATAACCTGGGCTGGGACATACCAACCAATAGAAGGCCCGAATTCAAAGATTTTACGAAAGCAAGCACGCCTACGGTATGCCTGTGGTATGCCTGTGATACCCCACGAGCACCCCACCATACACGGAGGTCGCTTTCCAGATCTTGTCTAATCTACAAGACCAAAACTAAAACCAACTTAGACAAGACTGACCCGTCCCGATATAATTTTTTTTTCTTCTTCTTCGCTTGGGTAACGACTTCGCCTCAAGCTATCCACCCGTCGCGTCTTGCAAATAGACAGGCTATAAGTTAGACTTATACGTCCTATGAACTCGGTTCATCTCATGACGCTCTGTTTATCTATTATCTTAAATCCCACCCGCGCGCATAGACTTATGTGCTCTCTTCCACCGAGGTAACATCATTTGCAGGCGACTTGAAGTCTTTGCGCTTGCAGTAGGGGGACGACAGAAAGACTTAGACGAATATAATTCATTTGGCGCATTTGCATTTAATCAAGATACCCGTCTCGCTTGTTGATTTTGTATGAGATTCTCAGATATCTCATCTACTACCGTACAGATATTCCGAAACACCTTTAAACGAGGTCATCAACACCAAGGATATAGCCGGATTCAGCAATTCGAAATGGGCGATTATAATAAAACAGGCCAATTCCAGGCTCCTACCACTACCGTCGAAATAACAGGCGGTAGCACTGCCAATGAGAGCCGTTACGGTGCCACCGATGTTGATCGTGCTACAAATGAAGCCGTCAGCCACGGGTTGCAGCAGATCGAAGCTAGGAAGTTCCATTGGTATTCATACTTTACCACTACCGACTTCTGGATCGTCCTCTTGCTAGGCCAGACGCTCTCACTGTGCATCACAGCTACCAACACCTTTTCGACCTTCCTAGCTAACGGCGGCGTTTCCATTCCAGCTTTCCAAACCGTCTTCACCTACATCCTGCTATCGCTCATCTATCTAACATATACGCTCTATACCTACGGCCCCAAGAAATATGGCAAGATACTGCTGCGGGATGGCTGGAAGTACTTCATTCTTAGCTTTCTCGATGTTCAGGGTAACTACTTCACCGTGCTGGCCTACCGCTATACGAACATCCTGTCCGCGCAGTTGATCAACTTTTGGGCCATCGTGTGTGTTGTCATCATCTCATTCATCCTATTGCGCGTGCGGTACAAGATCTTCCAGATCCTCGGCATACTGATCTGCTGCGGTGGTATGGGAATCCTACTCGCTAGCGACCACATCCAGGGCACTAATGGGGGTGATGGAGAAAATATGCTGAAGGGTGATTTGTTTGCTCTGGTTGGCGCTACATGCTACGGTCTTACCAACGTTTTTGAGGAGTGGTATGTCAGTAAGCGACCCATGTACGAGGTGCTGTCTTTCATGGGTCTCTTCGGCATGCTTATCAACGGCGTGCAAGCGGCTATTTTCGACCGCGAGAGTTTCCAGCAGGCGACGTGGAGCAACTCCGCGGCTGGGTACCTGGTGGGCTACACGCTGGTACTCGCATTCTTCTACTCGGTGGTGCCGTTCCTTCTGCGTATCGCGTCAGCGGCTTTCTATAACATCTCGTTGCTAACAGCCAACTTCTGGGGCACTATCATCGGCATTCACGTCTTCGGTTACGCGATCCACTTCATGTACCCGATCGCCTTCGTCTGCATCATTGTCGGCCTCATCGTGTACTTCCTCGCGGGAAGCATTCTCGGCGAGTCCAAGAAGCCTTGGCTCGGTGACAACCAGGAGGACGGTGTGGCAGGCTTTGGAACCGCGAAGCTCAAGGCACTGAATGAGGCGAGGAAACAGGGTATGGCCCCGGCGACTAATGATACGGTTTAGAGTTGTATATGTATCTATGTATCTTGGGTCTTGGATAATGTTCATAAGGGGGGGAGTTAGGAATTGAAGGCTATAAGATACCAATGCCTTTAGCTAACCTATTCCCTCGTATTTTTTCTGTGTTTGAGATCGATAGTATGTAATGAAAATATTGATCTATAATATCTTTCGAGAGGCCGAGCGTTCGGTGACTTTGTGGGCAACCCTAAGGTAAACAAAGCCCAAGATTCCAAGACCTCAAGCGTGTCTTGCTGTGAGCGGTTACTGCCGAAACAATTTTGCGCTTGTGCCTTCTTTAGAGAGACGGAATGGCTAACACCCAGCCTCTCCTGGATTTATATATACAATCCCCCTCAATGTTCGACTATGGTGTACTGCGTATCATGCTGGATATATAATTCCTGGCTTTGGCTTCCTGGACGGCCTGCCAGGACTCATCGATATGTTCTCTGTGTGCGTGCTGTCTGAAGTGATAAACTTGACCGGTGCTTAGGTGTGGATATGGTGACGGTTTGTTTGAAGGTTGAGATGGGGAATAATAAGGGCTTTATGCGTAAGGAGGATGAAGATACATGTAACTAAACTAGGAGCGCATAAGCGTGTTGGTTTAAGGTGTTACAATTAGTGTGATCCCGTCTCAATATATGTTGTCCAGTCGTAGCCAATGAACTCGATGACTTCTTGGATTGGAGATACACTGGCTCTAACATTCATCTTCGCGCTTTGACTATCTTGATGAAGCGAATGGCATGCCTAACGGCCAGATAGTCCCCTTCTTAGGTCATAGGACTATATGCCATGATTTATTATCTATTTATACAGGGTAATTTACACATTGACTACGTTAGGTAGGGAGCAATTTGGCTTCGTCGCATTGCTACGTCTACTATAACTTGTGAGTTGAGAACCTGCCTCTCACAAATCCATGATCCAAGCGCTCGCTCTAGCCTCCTTTCGCTGTAATTGAATCATATTCAAACCTACTTCTTAGCCGCTCGCCGGTTCGCAAGGGTATAGAAGATACTCCCATCGTAGATGCCCCTAATGTCGTCTTTCCTCATCTTGCCGTCCGCTGGCCACAGCATCAAGTACGTCGCGAGCCCTATCATCTTAAGCATCAGTCACAGATTCGTATAACGCCGACACGATACGACAGTAATAACAGGCAAGTAAGTAGGTAGATTCACTCACACTCAAAGAAAGCCCCAAACCACCCCACAGGATCCATAATGCATCTCTGCCCCTTTAGCAAGTCCACGACATCCCAAATAGTCAGATGATCGCGGCCTTTACCGTACTTGGCAAAAACATCTTCGAATCGCTGCGGTATAAACCGGCCCTCGGTGTCGAACGTTCCCGTATCGCTGCCGTGTTTGTCCTTGTGTATGTTGGCGATGAACACTCGGAAGAATGGGTCTGGCAGCCACCCTGATACCGTCGGATATGAGAAGTTGGCGTGGATTATGAAGACTGAAAGTAAGGAGAGGAATATCCCGAAGCCGACCCGGCGGAAGCCCTGGAATGTATCCTGTGGCCAGATTACGCCGTCGTGGTCCTAGAAAAGGGGTTAGTATGTTAGGATAGGGCAAAGGAAGGGGGTAAAAGAGTCTACTTACGAAGTCGAAGAACTCGCAGTGCTGCTGGAGTACTGTTTTGTCTTGGTGCCGTCTTGCCCATCCATCTTCTGTCGTTCCGTACGGCTTTTCGTACGTAGCTGCTATGTTGGCACGGGCGGTACCTACGCGTGTAGGTTAGCGCGTGGTTATTCTGTACAATCGAAGGCGAAGATACGCACCAGTATGCGGTAACCTCTGATCATCTTCCGGTTGAAGAAATGGTTTTCTCTCAACCGTCACTTTCACACTCGGTATCGTCGAAACGACCGGCGGCTCACGACTGTCGTTTAAGCCGTTAATTTCGTCTATGCTTTTGACCTCGACAGACATTGCTAATTACTATCACAGGTTTCCGTTGTGTGTTGTACTGTATATTTTAGCTTGGAGCCTACTATTTTATATTGAAGCTGCGGTCAGTGTAGAAACCCATTCCAATCGATCTTTTTGTATTTCCGAGCATTGGTCTGCCTGGGAATCCAGAATCCCATTCATACGTGCATGTGACGTCACTGAAGGCCAGGCCCGGAGCAATTCCACCATCACGATCGTCATTCGGATAATACGACTGTGTTCATTGGAGGGAGATAGGTGTAGCAGCATGTGAAACCCTGCGTGAAACATATACATATATTATCGCGAATTTCGTAAGAGCTAATGGGTATCCTTATGTACCTATGTATGCTTGTATCATATAATTCTATTGCTTTGGTATTCATCAAGGGCCTAATGACGCTTGGTTTGGTTGGCGATCAAAATTGCCTCGTAGTCTCTCTCTCGGGTATGAAATTGAGTCTCAAGGGCTTAATAAACTACGAAGGTCGATATATATCGTTGACGCTATAATATCGATTTCCCCCTGCAGTATATAGAGAACACGGAATCCGATAAACCATGGCAACGAGATTTGCTAATTTAGACATGGGTTGTAAAAGAAGAGGCTTAGAAGGACTGGGGGGGTTGCCGATACGATGGCTGTCGATCAGATGAGACAATCACCTTCGGCCTGTTAAAGTGATCTACCATTTCAAAGTCTTAGTAACCGAACCCATAGAAATCCTCCGTCCTTCGAGAAGGCTTCCCTGCGGTCTCGGCCTTATTCATATTTATAATCCGTTGCTTTGTGGCATATGCGCATTTTATACGAATCTTATGGCAGTTTAATGTAAAAGTCCGCCGATGAACTGGAAAATGCCTCTCACATACCGCAAGCGCAAAGTCCGATAGTGATGGATGAATCTTGAAGGGGGGGATAGGGGAATTACATAGTAAACCTCAACCGCAAGATCAAGATACCCCTAACCTCAATTCACCAAGAGCCTAAAAGGTAAAATATGTAATATATATGCCGTCCGCATTAACAATATACAATAATCATAGATAGCTTAACTAGGCCAACAAAAAAAAAGTCCTATCTTTCTTTCCCGTCCAAACCGCGCATCCCAACGCGACCTTCTCTTTTCTCTTCCAAACAGATGCTATACATACATATGCGATACAGTAGGCGAAATACAAACCGCTAATGCTTAAATGCTGATGCCGATGCAGACAATACATGAGAATTCCATTTTGCTTTCCCCCTTCCGAACGCCCAGCTCGAATCCCGAATCTCGAATCTCGAATCTCGAATCCCATATATCGACAAAGAGAGCAAAGTATAGTAACGTAAAGGTAATGTTACGGGTATGTGCGAATATATAAGGGGTATCTCGGCTGAAGATGACGTGATAGTGTAATGCAATGTAATGCGATGCGAGAATCCAAAGACAAAGGGGAGAAATAACAGGAAACGGAAGCTTAAAAACGAATGTTATCAGTCCCCGCCTGTCTGTTAGTAGCCGTACGTGAATCGAAGTCGGCTAGCCAGCCAGCCGCACCATGATATACCATGAGAATAACCAGGCTAGGTTAGATAAACCCACCGCCTCCGAAATCATCTCCCACGATCGCCGGGCTTCTGAGGCCGCGCCCGTGTCCATGGCCCATACCGGGAGACACCGTATTTGACCTCGGGGGTAGCGGCCTACCAAATGACGGCGAGGCCTGCGGGTCGCGGAATCCAGGTGATAAGGGGGCAGTCTCGGAGCGCTTCGGCGGCATTACGATTCCATTATGGCCACCACTGCTACCACCATAATGATTAAGGTGATTAAAATCGTGGCGCATCGGTGCATGTCCTAGAGTCGGCGTCATTGGCCGACTGAAATTAAACGACCGCATCCCAAACGGCGACTCTGATCGCGGACCAATCATTACGTTACCTCCTCTAGCCATGTCCCCTAGTACGCGAGGTGGTGTTTCGAGCGGGGATCCAACGCGCGAAGAGTAATCATCGAACGAGGAGGCGGTCGGCGAGGGCATCGGCCACATTGTGGAATCTGGAGTTGGAACGTTGCGGTTACCTAGGCGCGGCGGAATCAGTGGCTCGTCTAACTCGGCCTCTTCTTCGTCCCCGTCAGCGAGGAATAGTTCCATTTCTTGTAGACGCGACCGCGAGCCCGCGTTCTTGAGCGGCGGTGGTGCTAGTGGTGCTTCGATGGGCGTGATGCATGGGCTTCCTGCCAGCGGTCCCGTGCGTGGCATAAGAGGGCTGTCGGGGGATGTCGGCCGGTCATAGAGGGAACCGATGCTGTCCTGGGACATTCTCCTGGCCCGGGACTGCGATCGGGATTGTGATCGGGACTGTGGTTGAGACGACGGTTGAGACGGCGGTTGAGACGACGGCTGAATCACGTACTCGTCTGCGGCGGGTCTGCGCACATTTCTAGTGTTTGGCCTACGCGCCCCGACAGCAGCAGGTGGCGGACCATTCCTATCCCTCGGCATCCTGCGCGGACTCTGGATCGGCGACTGAGGTTTCTGATTCATGGCGAACGGCGGTGGATAAGTGCCGGCACGATCGGGGGTTCTCGGGCGAGAGTTGAGGTTCAAGGGCGGAGGTCGCATGAGCTTGCGCATCTCGGGACCGTTCGATGTTCTTGGACGTTGTATTGGTTCCTCCATGCGCGGTCGCGTGAGCTCCTCTACTCGCATCTCAAGGCTTCGTCTTTGGGATAGGATAGGAGGGGTTGAAACAGGAGTTACTGTGTCGCGTCTTGCCCCGACTGACCGGATTTGGATACCGGGATCGCCCAATATATTCGCTAGGCCGCCCTGAACTCGATCTTCGCTACCACGTGGAGTCGCTATAGGCGAAGGGATCGATGCTGGTCCAAAGTGCCCATGATTCGGTATATCCCTGACATTTTGCACCTCTTTAAGAGTAGTCGGCCCGTTCCTATGACTACCTCTGCTTGATGAACGGAACATGTCGTCCCTAGGAAATGGCGGCCGTCCCAAGACCGGCGTTCCGCCCCTAATCGACTGCGGAGGAGATGGTGGCTTACTAGGCGATTGACTCCTCTGTGGCGACTCGGCAGAGTGTGGACCAGGGCTTGGCCTTCTTATCCGCAGAGGTACTGGAGGCAATGATGGATCCTCTTCCCTAGGTAAGGGGGCCGTATCATTAGGGATTTCCAGTTTAAGTTGATGTTTGCTCAACGATGGCAAGGGCGCTGATGCCAAGGAGGGTGGTGGACCTGTGGTAGAATGCATTTCGAGGGGATTTATCCAGACTGTCTGTTGCTGCTGAACAGGAGTCGCCGGCCGTGAAGGATTTCGCATAGGAACTGGAGGCACTATGTCCTGAGTCGGGGTATTTTGCCAACCACTACCACTTCCCAAGTTGGGATTCGACGAATGTTGCTTTAGAGCCGGAAAACTTGGCTGAGGAAGTTCGGATATGCTCGTAGCAGCTACATTGGCCACGTCGGCGCCGTAGGGAGATGGTTTCGCTTGCATGGCCGTGATTTTGACTGAATGAGACGTGTTGGGACGGGATACCGAATAGACGTTGACACTACAAGGTGCAGGTTTCCCGTCCTCCCTCATGGGAAATTCCTCATCTAGGGGCTCTCTAACAAGTTTCCTACGGACCTGCGTTGGCGAAGCCTCTTCATCTTCTCGGCCTCTGTATATTGTTAGTCAGATGTACTACGCGGGACTTATTCCGACTCACTTCTTCTTCTCGCCGCCGAGCTTAAACCCAAAGAATGAGACCATCGTTTCCTTCCACACAATTATACATGCGCTGCTTTCCACCTCTATGATTACCGTGCTCTCACTCTTACACGCGCGCGCACACACTCTCTCTCTCCCTAACAACCAAGACGGTAATGACTGTATAGAATAGCAGGAAGCAAGAAAAAAAAGTTCAACTATGTGCAGAATTCAGAAAGGATATGCTCGGGCCGCAGATTCGGAACCAGGAGCGCGCGACAGGGACGTGTTGATACAGCGGGGTTGAAACGAGGATGCTAGCAGTACATGTCGATCCCAATAGCGACCAAGAGTCCAGCGTTACAATGCAATCGATGTTGTATGTTAGGATGCCATGCGCGATCCTCCGAAATCTCGATAAATCTGGAAACGGCTGGCTTCTATTTGCAGAAAATAGTAAGGGTAAGGTAAGAATAAGCTCGTAGGCTTGTAATATGGTCCTAGGAGGGATTCGCGATAATGTTATTTTTTTTCTCCTGCAATTCCTGAATTGTTACGCGGCGGGTGGTGTGAGGTGGTATTCTTCGAAGTCGCCAAGCCAGAAGTCTACTCGCTGATGACACACAACGGTTCTCTTGTTCCTGACAGAGTAGTTGGGTAAAGAAGGGATAAAAACATGCGATGTAAGCTTGTGCAGTGAGAATTAGAAATGGCGCAAGGCAGCATTGATATGATCATAATGGGGCGAATTACATATTATGCATGAGTAACCGCAGGGTGAATAACAACCCACTATGTACGTTCTATGGATGAACTACTGATGTGTGTGGTTCGAATTATGAGAATTGATGTCTTGAATCCACGTATCGCGAGGAAAAGGGACCAAGGGGAGACAAGGGGAGGCGGCTCCATAAAAATTCAGGGGAACAGCTTGACAGGGAATAAACAACCCTTGGTTGTCTTGGCAGGGGTTCGCTTGCGCTAGAATTGTACTGTAGTGTTCTTTTAGACTCCGCACATGCTTTTCTGCGAACAGTGAAGCATTAGAGATTTTCATCAGTATGAACAAAGTGAGTTAAGTCTTCAAGATTCCATGTAGATGAAGTTATGTATTATTATATAAAATGAGAATAAATTACCTAGGTAGGTAGTCATTCTATTATAGCATATTATATCCTACCTAACATATGAGTTCTTAGGACTTATCGGTAAGGCCGCCTTTAACTAATTTACAGCATTCGTATGGCATCTTTATTTGTATTAGGTTATTAGCTAAAAAGGCGTTATTGTAATTTACCCACACCATACAAATGAAGAATAAAGATAGAAACCTTCAACTCGAAATGCTGGGTCGAATACTTATCTCTTTCTACCTTGTCTTCCTTACTTAACTAGAGATGTTGTTGGTAAGAGGTAGGTTTGGATTTTTTAATCAACAACGATTAAGAAATATCAAACAGGGATGGGGGACATATATACATACAGTAGCAGCTCGGAACGATTCCGGATCCTCACGTTTAATGGCCCTGCTGAAACCGTCTAACTAATACTGGCGACTCGAAATTTCAAACCATGATGATTCTAAAGGGTGTAGTTTGAATAGCACGTACGGTTAAACTCTTCATTTAGCCCCCAACGCTCAAAGCTCATAATTATGTGCTTGTAAAATATATGTGACAACCTCGTACATATTCCTATTTTTTGATTCGTTAGTTCGTCTCGTCCTAATCGGACGACATGAATGAAACAAACCACACCTATCACCACGGATACAATCCCCACCATCTTCGCAGGGCAGCCCGAGCCAATAGTCCGTCTCCGAGCTCATCCCCTTGCATCGCAGCCGCAGAACTGCATAGGCGAGGCAATCAGCACACCCAACTTCTCGTACAAATTACCGTATGAGGTAGTTAAGCGACAACATTGCCGATGCTAGTCCTTGCCTAGTAAAAACGTGCCAATATATGTATAGTGTATTATGAATTATACTACGTATAAATCCTCATAAAGAGGTCAAGTTCGCTGGCGCGTGTCCTAATAAGCAGTCCGACCGCCATGCTCGGCCAACCTAGGTATTTCCAAATATCATCGTACGCCTCTTCTTTAAATAAAAAGGTTTAGCTTAGCGTGAGAAGCACCGGCCGTTGTATGCATGTCTCGGCGGTAATAGCGTGTGCGATGAGACAATATGTGGTTTACCTAGTGTTATTATAATATACCGGTATCTTGGAAGAAACGCGCCACTTTGTCTCTTACTCATATGCGATTAGAAAGTCTTTGTAAACACTACCTATCCAGCTATAGACCTTATATATTGATTTTGATTCATAAATGTATCAGGAACTGTTCCCATTAATAGGCAGTATCCGAGTTTATGCCGGGCTTCGTCAAGGAATTATACTAGATGATGTAGGAGTTCTCACAGACTAGTGCTATTGTTATGCTAGGCCTGAATAACGTCCAAAAACTTCGTACGCGGTCCTCATATCGACAATACACAACTACGTAACCTAAGTATATATGATGAATAGTCTCATAAGTCGTAGATTAGGTAGGTTAATTCTCTAAAATATCATTAGTTATAATTCTTCTCAACGCATCTTACTATAGCTCCTAAGGTTATCAAATTGAAAATATTTATCTCACTATTCCGTACTACAGGCTACCACTGAATATAACCACTCGTCGGGAGAAGATGCGCTGAGGTACTCTCTGTAACCTACCCTTAGTTTAAAGAATTCTAGCATTAAGAAATGATGAGCAGATTATTTTCCCGTTTGTTATTAACAGTCTCGTACGATAAGGCTTTCCTAGAAGTAGTATCCCCTAGGAGATCCTTTCTTAAGTATTATTTATTGACTGTATACTCTCCCGCTCCGACATACAGCAGGAAAACAACATAACCCAACGCCTACTTAGGTAGATAGGTATGTAACCTAATCGCTCTATAAAGATACGTAGCAAACTAATAAGCTTACCTGGTTGTATTAATATCGCCTTTAATTCGTATCATTCATATGTCAATACTTATATATATCTCTACTAAAGAGCAGCAAACCCACCTCATCGCCATCTCCATCCTAGAACGCCAGTGGGTATATGTTGTCTCTCACATATATACACGGCCGCTCGCCTGTCCGTCTTTATAGACGATGATCTATACATAACCCACATCCCACAACCCACAACCCACAAACAAAACCACAAGCCCGTAGCAAAATCTTGCCACTGCCTTATATGCGCAGGTACCTAATATACCACACTAAATAACCAAAGGCGAGCTTATAGCGCGGGCTTATCGCCTCCGCCCTTATCCTCCGCCCTGACACTGTCGTCTACCGTAACAGGCTTTTCCTTCGTAGGCTGCAGTGGCTCATAGCTCAACTTCGCGCTATCCTGCTCTCGTGCCTCCACGTCCTTTCCCTCATCTTTCTGGCCTTCCTCTGGATCCAATCTCTCAACGCTCTTCGACGGAACCGTCTCGCCGTCGTCCACGAGCTGTGCTGCATCACTAGGCGCAGTGCTCTCCTTACTGCCTTCCTTAGCATGATCCGGTCCGTGCGTTCCAACAGTCGTTGCGCCTTCTCCCTGCTTCGCGACGTTAGCCTCGGATTTGTCGTCGCCGCCCTCGGAGATGCCCAACTTATTCTCCACATCCCCGGCCAGCCGATCAAGCTCGTCTTGGATCTCCTCCTCCTTCTCCGTCTTGGATACTTGTCGGTTTGCCTCCTTTTCCCCGACTACAGCTCTCCATGTCGCTTCCAGTTCGTCACCCCATCCCAGCTCATCCGCAAGCTTCCTAATCCCGGCGTCGCAGTCCCCTGTGACCAAGACGTCGTCTGCACGCGAGCCCAGATCGCCTACACGATCGCGGTTGATAAGTACGCGCGGCACACCTTCACGTGCCCGTTGCGGTAGACCGGCGAACGGATGTACTAGTAAGCTGGTGCCCATCACGAGCATTAGATCAGCGGCGTTGGGCACCGAGATATTATCATAAAATGTTTCTGGGAGCTGCTCGCCGAAGAAGACGATGTCAGGCTTCACGAGACCCTCACAGTCCTTTCGGATACAGCGCGGAGCCTCGCCACGCTTAACATGCTCGCGCATTAGATCATCAGGGAACTCGGTACGACAGTCGATACAGCGCTGCGTAGCAAAACTGCCGTGGGCCTCAACGATTTTCTCGGAAGGCACACCGGCAACACGCTCTAAGCAATCTATGTTCTGGGTGAAAAGCATGCGAAGGAGACCCTTTTTAGCAAGTAGGGCGATGAATGCGTGTGAGACTGTCGGGCTAAAGTTCCCCGGGTAAAGCTCCTTCGCCAACAGGTAAAAGGGCTCCGGGTTAGTACGGAAGAAGTCGATCTCGAAGACAGCCTCCGGATGTGGGAGGTTGAAGCGAGAAAGATTGTGATATAGTCCCGTTCTAGGGGAGCGAAAGTCGGGTACTGCATCGTGATAAGTAAAGTGTGATATGTGATAAGGCTGCGATGAGAAGAAGAAGAAAATATAAAAAATGAACGAACTCACTTCCAGCTGCGGTAGAGATACCGGCGCCGGTCATGACAACAATATTTTTTGCGCCGCCATCTTTGATAAGCTGTGCGACAGCACGGAGACTGCGCTCTGATAATGTCTCTGGCGGCGTATCCGGGTCGATGAGATGCGAAGACTCCTGGCCCATCTTTCTTGACCGCGGTCCGCGGGTACGGTTTTTGGCCTTTTTGGTGGCGGGGTCTCTCTCTGCGACCTATGTTGAATAGTGGACAAAACAATTTCAATTTGAATGAGTTTGTTAATGAGGTATATAAGGCCGAGAGCTATGTAAAAGATCAACCCTTAATGGTTTAGAATAGTGAAATATAGGTAAGTTGAAGATTGAACGAATTGGAAGTTATATCATTTTTTTATTAATCAGAACCTTACGGCGTAGACTAGGTACATTAGGTACATTAGATCCATACATTAGGTACATTAGGTACATGCATGTACCTGTGCTATCGTATGGTGGGGTCCATGTTATCTAATCGTATGACGCCGTGAGATGTGGTGCCTTCAATGAATTTAAACAACTTGAGTTATTAGGTGTGGTTCATAAATTGTTACCAAGTTACCAATATATAAGTAGGTACCTAGTATACAAAATAACATATTATCATAGCTAATACACTCCAGAACCTTGATATGAGCTATATAACTCCTAGGTAAGAGTCAACCAACACCCGGAGCCCGAACTTAGAGTATCTCCATCTAAAGGGCCTACTATCCTTCCTTGTCATGACACAGTATAGTCGGTCATATCTCGCATTGTTTAGGCAATGACTGAAACACACAAAGCCAATACATTTTCTACCTTTACGCCGAACCATTGCTCAAGCTAATTTTTTCTTGCTTTCCTTTTTCCCGGACATCGCACATTATATAATACAAGTGTATAAGTGAAGTGTACAAGTGGTTAGACACCCAATGACTATATTTTTATCATCGTGCCCATTCTACCACCTCTAGCGCCATCATGACAAGCATTAATGTTGAAGGGAGAATCCTAGAAACAGTTAATAGTCTAAACCTACAGTAAACTTAGCATGATATACTACTTACCAGATAACGTAGCTCTGGAACAGGATCTTTGACATGACTCCTTCGTATACCTCGTTGAGCTGGCAGATCTGTGCCAGCTGCAAAGCACTCGGCGCACCTGTGAGCAGAAAGCAGACGATAATGAATATCGGGTCGTCCAGTATGCTAATGGGGACGTATTTGGCGAAGAGCGCTAGAATAGGTGCCATGATCATGGTAGGGAGTAACATGCGGCTAATGAGCGAAGCTATAAGGAGGCTCCTTCCAATCCGTTGTTCTTCGGGGTCGACAATCTCCTGGGCTTGCGTATTTCGGGCTAGGTTGGCACCTAGCACTACTAGAATAAGAGGTACGGCGACACTACCGCTCTGAGATACTGCCCTGGTTACGCTGTTATTGACGAATGTCCCTTCTTGAAAGAATAGTCGCTGCAGATCAGGCACCGAAGCCACGATGATGGCAATAAGCATAGCCCATAGTGGCGGGTTCATGAATTCCCACAAGAAGTTGTAAACTCGGAGCCACCATCCCCATACTCTAGCCAGACCGTTCTGCATCGGATCGGGTAACCCTTTGTATGCGCATGTAGAAAGCTGAACGATGCATTGCTTAGTGGATGTAGCGGCCTTCTTGACTCCGAGACGCGCGCGTATGTAACATCCCTTAATTCCAGTTGGAAAATCCAGGCCGCTCGCGTCTCGCATACGAGGAAACAACGTCATGTCGCCGGGTCCGGTTGTTATAGAGCGACCGTTGGGGGAATTAGTATTACTACCATGCTTCCTTGCTGATCGTTTTCTTGACGCGGTAGTTTCATCATCAGAATCGGCGGGCGATGCTACCGAGGTCCCAGCTACTGGAGTTCGACCGGCCGGTTCGTATATATCCGAGTCGTCCGAGTCATCCGAGTCGTTGCGGTCATCATTCTCGGTAACGTTTCCGTCAAGACCTGGAATCAAAACTTCGTCTTGAGGCACATCGTCCCTATATCTGCCCTCTTCTACCGTCCCATCCTGGTACTCTTTGTACTTGCTCTTGGGTGCCAGCAAAACGTGATATCCCCAGCTCCATCTGACTAATTGTCCAAGCTGCTGAAATATCAAGAGATATAAAATACCGCGTGCGGCTACTTCATCATCGTTGTCCCCTGGTATCCTGTCCCAATGGAGCCCCTTTAGAGTTTGCGAAAGCGCAATGACGAGGGAAATCGGTAGCGAGTTTGAATTCCCAAATACACCCATAGCCGTGACAAAATTCGCCGGGCGCTTTGAAAACCGGAATGTTTTCGAGACAAGTACGGATACTAAGTAAGATATACCGGTTTGGATGATAAAGATGATAGGTATAACTGCGAGGTCGATAAGTTTGTCGGCGTTGAGTTGCGACGCTAGCTTGGTGAAAACTGTCTATCTGTTAATATTATACTTATAAAACAATGGGCCCGACCATATGCGCATACTTAGACATGGCGTAAATAACATGACGTTGAGATTCGCTAGGAACTTTTGCTTGTCGGCATCGAAATGTCCTAATCTTGCGATAATATATCCCGGCAAGCTGACGCAGACGACCTCTAGCACAGCCTCGAAGACCAGTAGGACCAGGTGGTCAATGGAAGGATGGGAGTCGTGAGTGTTTTCCATTGCCATCATCGGTATGTTGGGAGCCAAGTTTACTAAAGCATTGTTGACCCGGAAGGAAGTTGGCCTTGCGCTTGATAGATCTATCATCTTGCTTGACTTGAGGGATCTAGATCGACTGAGGACGAAGTTGTGCTACTGTTGCCCTTAGTCTTACTATTGACAAAGACTAGCAGTTAAACTCGTAATCCTACAACCAAATAAAAACGGCGGGAGTCAACTTTCGATGGCCGAATTAGTTGAACGGGAATCGAAGAAAATAGATGCTTTCTCTCGGAATATGTTGATCAGCCCCTTGATCTTCGGCACGAGAGTGTAGGTAAATTATATGATGACTTCGTCTAAGGTCTAGTGCTGGTTATTCAGACCAGCTGCAGAGCCGCCAAGATGTGACGCGATAGAGTTCGTCAGAAATACGAGGTGGGAAAGAGAGAAGGTTGAGTAAGGTTGAAAGAAAAATCGCTAAGATATTGAGGAAATAAAGGAAAAGGAAATAATAGGTAAACAGCAACTTGACCGAAGCTGCCTTTTCTTTATTGGCAGCAATGGCTAGAAGAATTAACCGAGTGAATTAAAAATTAGAAACAAGAAATACCTAAAAGGAAGCGATCGAAGGAGCTTAAGGTCCGCCGGAGACTTTTTAAAATACCTACTTGTTGATCTTAGCCTGCGCCCTGAGATCTCGAACGAGATAAGTCCCAATAAAGTTACCAGTGAAACATTGAAGCGCAAGGTATGTACCTTAATGGTGACTTAACACTAACCTAGCGTGTGTACCTACATGTACACTACCTCTTTAAGTTTGGGTGAAGCTGCCCTGGTGCATGGTCTTGGTTGCAGTGGTTGCAGCTGTGCGGCAAGACCTGCAGGTCCACTGTGTGAAACAATTTTGGAGGAATCTTTTACGCTAATTGATTGGCCTTTACAGAACACCAAAACAGCCCCTCAGGGTCTCGTCGTCGCACGTGTGGGGGTTAAATTGTTAGAGGAGTAAAGATTCAAACAGTCTTACCACTTACCACATAGACGTAGATTGGAGACCTCATCTATAGATTTTAGAGCAACTATAACCGTACCTAGGTAATGGCTATGACGCCCTTTATTTTCGGTTATTTACTACCATGCAAATGAATATCTTAATACGTTCCCTAAGATGTCGTCTTTGTTAGGTATTTCACCAGTGACAGATCCCGTGTTATAACGATGAGGCTGTGAGGTTAGCGCGCAACTAACGCGAATACCCAGTCGGCCAGCTACATACATAAAATCCACTGCTTCCCTACCTACCTATCATTTTGTGTGGCTGTGTGGTAATTTAGGAGGTAGCTCTATGTAGAGTCGACCTATAGTGTTGCCTTGTGATATCGCCCCAGTACGGAATACGCCAGTGGGCAATAATGACGATTCTAGCCAAGATTTATTACTCGGACAGTCACAATCGAAAATTGATGGCCGGGTCTTGGCGTTTTGAAAGAGGTTTAAAATGCCAAGACCTGGCCATCAACTTTCGATTGAGACTGTCGGTACACTGCACTGAGAGGGCTCTGCTTGACCAGTGGCTTAGGTATTCAGGCAGTGTTTAGCTTGAAGAAATGCAACCTTCCGTCCGCCAATGGCTCCCAGCAATTTAACTTAGTTATTATCTTCTAGGAGGTACTGGAAGTGACGAATTTATACAAAGTTGCCTAATTCGTTTTGCCTCCCAGGGCATGATCTTGTACATATGTAGTATTTTAACCGCCTTGGGATGTGCTTACTTGAGCTATTCTATATATTCAAACTGAAATGCTTGATGTGTAGTATTACCCGCAACATGATTCAAATGGCACGATATGGCTACCAAACTACGATGACGTCTCTTTTAGACTGTAGGCATCAGAGAGATTAATTAATTGGACAGTATCCGAATGTAGTCATGGGAAACAAGCCCAGTAAAGCCAACGCATCAATCGGACAATGAGCGACGAAAATGTTGCTGCATAGTAAGTCTTGGACGGAGATCCTGAAAGGCCGGTCTGATGGCCACATCTCCGATACTCTAAGCCTACCTTATAAACAATGCAACCTGTTAAGAGTAATGTATCAGCATATCTGCCTACCTAGGTAGTGTACAGGTAATAAGTAAGGCAGTGTTGTATTTTGGGGTTTAATTGGGTGATTGGGTGATTGGGTTGAAGTGATGACGATCGTAGCAATGACGTTATTCGATCTTATCAATTTCTTAGGTACATATTCCAGTCACTGCCTTACGCAAGTGATGGTATGCAGGGGTACGTAATACATACATACAGAGTGTACGTCCTGACGTCCTGTACGTGTGGCTTGAGCGGATTATATAATGCTCCAATATGACTTCGAATTTCATTGGCCAAAGACTTCTTTCTAATGGCTCTCTATATTCCATACTTTTAGGTAATTTTGTAATAAGCCGCAGTCGTTGCTCAATCAATAATGCGCGCTTCACTGGCGAGAACGGCTTTACGTCGCGTTGGAATTCTATGCAGCCAGAGATCTACCTACGTACGTTGCATTACCACTTTGACAGCACGGTTTGCGGGGTGGCTAGCTATTATAAAGGGAAAGATCACCGGTTCTATCGGCGTTGGTATTGGTTTACGAGTTGATGGTGATGTATTGCGGCATACTCAGATTATTCCCTGGTAGCCTGGTTGCATCTTTAAAGTGGCTCGTGATAATTATAATGCTCCCCCACCCAAATCATGTTTTGATATTTTCCAACCGCAGTCCAACCCGTAGTTTATCTTATTCGAGCTTGGTGTTTTTTCAGACCGCCTCGTATATATGACGTCAAGGATTTATTCTTTCCTTGCTGTTGCTAACATCGTTTAAGCATCATGCCATTCTCTCGTAGCGTGCTGGTACATTATTGTTTAGATTAATAACGGCAGTCATGTTATTAGTAAATATTTAGGATGGGTGTTAAAGGGGAAAAGGAAGCAAATAGATCGAGTTGACGAGAATTCGATCTTTGACGATATGCGGCTAAAAGAGGCCATCATTCTTTATCATGGTTTCGTACTTATTATTTAATCCTATCGGAGTTGTTTGATTGGATGAATTCGTTAAAGGAGCTGTAAGCTACGACCACGTGAAAGACTCATAGCAGGTTAATCAGCATCTCTGAAACTAGAAACGCGGGGCAAAATTTACAACCTTCACAGGCCAACCATTAAACATCTACAGGCCGTTACTACTGTCTCCATCATTAAATCATCCCTCTCCAACTATTCGACTTTTTTTTTTTATATTCTAGAAAATAAAAAATAAAAAAATAAAAAACAACCCCCCGAACAAAAAGTTAAAGCATCTAATAAGGTCGATTACCAAATCCTCAAACCCCATCGTGTCCAAGGTCTTGGTTTTAAGGGTCCAAGGAAGAGAAGACACGTCTAAAAGGTTCCACAACCCACAATCCCACAAACCTCTTTGTCAACAAGCCTCGGCCGCTTCATATTTCGTACGTTCGTTCTTAGCAAGAAAAAAAAAACTAGTTATCTTACATACACATACATACCTCTCGCTACTAGGTATCTCTTACATATTAGTTATCACCACTCCATACTATCTGCACCCTCTCCCTCCCTCTTTTCTTTCCCTACCAAGACTCTTAGGGTACCCATACGGAGAGATTAGCCGCTGTTACATACAACCAGTTTAACAGCTCATGAAAATCACAATTGGGCAGCTTGAGCTAGTGTCTCGGATTTGACCAGGTTCGTGCAGCCCTACGACTGTGCTTTACTTCGAATTGTCAGACGAATAACTTAGGTGGTTATCCGGTATGGAACCCAATCATCACCCTCCCACCTTTATTACCTTGCCTTACCATGTCTACCCGAACAGTCCGGCGTGGGCTCCGATTCCGTGGACAAGACTACAGACCGCTAATGAAGAATAACTGTATTGTAGAACGACTCAAGACCCTTGTGCCGACGAATCGGTGTTGCGCCTTTGCCACTTTCATGTAGAAATTTTTTTACGATCTTGTAGAAGCCCAACCCGACCTGCGTTTTCGGTCGCCGAGCTGCCCCATCGTCATCTTTTTTTTTTTTTTTTTTTTCCTAAACGCCGGTTTGCGCTATTCCCCGCCAACCAGCAAACTAATCCCACCAAACCAAGTTCTACCCCGGTACCAACAATAGATAACATTTATCAAGAGCTATTACTTGGTGATGATAGTAGAGGCGCGCCCCTAGATACCTTCTTTCCTTTACCCTAAAATCTCCCTTCATTATGGCCGGCGTACACGACGATCCGGATTCGGTGCCCGCAACGCCTGATGAGCTGATCGATAGAGACGGCCTGGGCAGCCCCGGCTCACCTAGCTCTGTCAACTCTTCAGAAGCAAGTACACCTCTTGAGACGCCCAACGAAATGAATTCCGAGGCACCTAAGAGGATGCCCTCGTTGCGCTCCGTTTCCGATCCCCAAAACCCGGGCCATCCAATGTCTGCTTCCTCTACTCACCTAGGTGTTTTGTCTAATGCAAGGCGACCCGGTGCTTCTCCTCATATGTCGAGTGGACGCCTACCGGAAGACCTCAACGCAAAGATGAGAGCTTTCCACCTGTCCCGTCAAGGTAGCTCTCCTCTGAATTCACAACAGGCCACCCCACCCAGCGGGCCTTCCCCAGGCGGTCCGGTGATAGCCGGCCTACCCGGGCGCCTTCAAATGTCTGGAGGTATTAAAAGACCCGGCGCGCCCTCGTTTCCAAAATCAGCTCCTTCGATACCTTCGATGCCCCCAGCAGGTGGTGGTTTGGCAGGCAAGAGACGGTTTGGTTTTAAGCTTGGGGATATGGGCGGAGCTCCGTCCGCTTCCCCCGTATCCGGCGGCGTCAATGCTGGCCCCCAAGCGATACCCATTCAAAACGGGAATGCCCACATGTCACAAATGAAGCAATTCGAGGAGTACATTGACGCTGAAAAAGGGTACCTGACATTTAAGGGTAAAGCGATTATTACTAACAAGGGAGTCAACTTCTCGGATGGGTCCGTGTTTAGAATATCGCTCGACGAAGTAGAGAAGCTCGATGAGCTAGGGAAAGGTAATTACGGCACAGTTTACAAGGTGAAGCATACGAAACCGAGGGTTCCACGCTTCGGACCTGGCCTTTCTGGATTCAAATCGGCTTCTTTGCCAGGTGTTCCTACGGGCACGCAAGATAAGTTAGACACCGAGACTAAAATCGGGTCTGCTACCGGTATGGTTATGGCTATGAAAGAGATACGCCTAGAGTTGGACGAGGCGAAGTTGACAACCATATTGAAGGAATTGGTAATCCTACACGAATGCGCGTCCCCATACATTATCGAATTTTACGGGGCCTTCTTTCAAGAAAGCGCAGTGTATATGTGCCTCGAATACATGGATGGAGGCTCTATCGACAAACTCTACTCGGGAGGAATCCCGGAAAATGTGCTTCGTAAAATTACGTACTGCACTGTAATGGGTCTCAAAGAGCTGAAGGATAAGCACAACATCATCCACCGTGATGTCAAGCCGACGAATATCCTCATAAACACCCGAGGGCAAGTAAAAATCTGCGACTTTGGTGTGAGCGGTAATCTGGTGGCGAGCATTGCCAAAACCAACATCGGATGTCAAAGTTATATGGCACCCGAACGAATCTCTGGCGGAGCATTTATGCACGCTGGCGCGGGGGATGGCACATATAGCGTACAAAGCGATATATGGAGTTTAGGCCTGACAATCATTGAATGTGGAATGGGGAAATACCCATATCCTCCAGAAGTATCCTCAACAATCTTCAGCCAGTTAAGCGTAAGTAAATAAACGGGCTCGAGTCTGCAAATTCTAGATAGCGCCTAACATTATTCCGTAGGCAATCGTCGAAGGAGATCCTCCTGATTTGCCGGATCGATATTCCGAAGCTGCGCGAATATTCGTTCACGGCTGTCTCAACAAGATACCTAAGCTTAGGCCGACATATCAGGCACTACTAGCTTCCGAGTGGATTGAAGACTTGACGAAGCCGGAGACTATCGCAGAAGAAGATGAGGAGGTAGATGAGAATGACGTTAGCGCCGAAGCGGTTGCCGGCGCGGCTGAGAAATTAGACCTCAGCCATTCAAGCACCGATGACGCGGAAGTCGCCGCATGGGTTAATGAAGTATTGGAAAAGAAGAAAAATGGACAGTATGGCGAGGCAGAAGGGCAGCCAGCGCTTCACCATGCTCCTTTTGACGCCATGAGCCCGTTAGCCAGTCCACAGATTGGGAAATAAAAATGGTATGGTACTTTGCGAAGGCAGTTCCCATTAGATCACAAGAAGCGAAGGGTAGGATTTTCTCGCGATATGGTGGAGCAGGCCCTCCGCGATCTTCCCTCACGATTACTTCGAGAACATAGCATTATTCGGCGTACAAACTTGGTTCAACACACATAGCACAGCCAGGGGCGGTAGCACTGTCTCAACATTTTATCATCTTACGTCTTGTTCTCCTTCCGCAAAAGGGTCTTTTACGGTTTTTCGATCATTGAAACGGCATTCTGGACGAAGCAAAGGGCACCCTGTATACGTATTCGGGATAAGGAAGGGATAGGCTGTTATTTAAATCCGGGAAACTTGGAATGGATGACGCGACGCATACGTGAGGGATCAGTGTGATATTATAAAAGCGGCCGAGGAAAATCGAGAGATTCAGAGAGGGCTGGCTCTTCGTTCTATGCAACACATTGTACACTTTTTGTCACTATTTCTTTTTTTAAAAACCCCTTCCGATCTTAATATTGGCAATACGTGAAGGGAAAGAAATAAAGAGCGGGATATTTCAAGAAGCCATTTGCTTCCGTCTTGCGAGAGATGCTTTTTCTTCCCCCTTACTCATCGACTTCTTGTTCATCGCGGTGGATAATCTTTTGCAGAGATAAGATGGGAATTCGCATTCCGCACGGAGTTATAGGGACTGGAAGAGGTAAATACACGGAAAGAATAACTGTTGAGGAAGGGATATTTGGACGATCGAGGCAAGGTAGGGCAGAGCAGATTGAAATAAAGGTTCTTCGATAGGGAAAGTATTGCCTGCCGGGGTGTAATCCAGGGGCAGATAAATAGGACTGGCTTTGAAGTCGAGAACACGAACTTAGTTGAGTGAATCATACTATATTATAAGTGAATTAAAATGGTAATGTGGCTGGAGGGGCGGATATATACGATACTACTGTTAGGACATGACATTGGAAACGTGTGAGAGAGAGGGTGTGATATAATGATATAATATGATATAAATAATGTATAGCTTAATAGCTGCGTAATTCTTATGTTCTCAAGTACCTTATATCTACCCTTCGTACAACTCCAATTCACTCTTCTAGGGGCGATTTAAAACGAGACTCATTGATAGACGTCCGTGATACTGTAGACACGATGTTCGAGCATCCCTAGGCTCTAGCTATATGAAGCACAATAATATCTCAATGCCTCAGTCAAACATCCTCTTCAAAACAACATCACGAGTATTCCCCTCTCACGATATATCTCAAGCCTGCAAGCTGGCCAGATAATCTCAATCAATTAATCATCTACCATAACGACCGAGTAAGCACAAAAGTACCTGTAGCATACATAGAGCATAGGCGCAACTTATGGCTGTGGTATCCCTATTATTACATCCTCCACTGTTCATCCTTCCGTCCTTGTCTGTCTGCTGGTCTGTTCCTTGCTGTTCCTCCGTATCCTTGCTCACGATACCTCGTACGTAACTTTGCGTCGGTCATTATCGTCGTTATTATCCATTATGCCAAGCTTCATGTAAAACGCGTAAAACTTGAAGCGTGAGGTGGTCTGCGCACTCTCAAAATCTCCATCTGTCGGTTCATACTACTTCATCTGCCGCAATTTGGGTTTCTTGATTTAGTTCATCTTTCGTACTCAGGTTGCTATAACCCCCGAAATTCTTACTTAGGCGTACTCTTCCTTAACACGTCGGCCGTTCATATCGTAGCTTCGGTGGCTCCGCACACTCCTCTGACGGCCCCATCTACGACCGGTGTGACCCTCACCATTGCTACCGCGGATACCCAGACAGAAGAGTATCGTGGCGATCAACAAGGCGGCCCAGCTACCCCAGCTAAAGCCGAAGGCCCATCGACCAAGGCTAGCATCACGGCCGCTCGCAATGAACGCATTACGCATTTTAACGAAGACGGCTGTCATCAGCGACACGGCGATGGTGTGGAAGAACAAGGCGATGAGAGCTCCTAGTCCTGCGATGGCCGAGCCTAAGCGTCCGCAGCATGCCACGAAGCCTGCGAAGAAGGCAAGCACGGAGAACACCAGCGCGATTAAGTAGAAGACCCAGCCGAACCGCCACATGTAGTAGTAGTAGAAGCTTGTAGTGTCGCCGCCATAGGTACCGATCAAAGAAGAGGGCGCATTATTCGGGTTTGCGGACCAGCCCCAACCCAGGGGAGGGGCAGGCCATGCGCTGCTACAGTCGGTGTTGCCTTCGCCACAAATATAGAAGTAGGTCCATTGAGTGACGGAGCGGGCGCCCGTTATGCCGCCGGTCTGAGCCGACAGGAAGTAGGTTTGTCTTAGGGGCGACGTGTCGGTGACGGCTGATAGGATCACGAAGAACATCATCACTAAGGAGCCGGCGAGGAAGATGAGGGAGAGAGGCGCGAGATATGCGTCTGGAGAGCTATTAGCGGTGTTGCAGAGCTAGAAAGTGGTTGCGGTGAGACTTACTTGAACGCGCCATCTTGAATACTATTGACCGGCCAGACCGGATTAAAGTGTGTAGAGATTACTTGTGGTATCAAGAAAGATGGTCGACAAGCAGCTAAAGGTTGAAAATGTTAGACTTCAGGTCGCGAGCTTTGAAAGAATTAAAACAAGAAACTTACCTTGGGCAAAGACGCGCAAACTAAGTACCCAGGGCGGGCAGCTGGCAGCTGGCAGGGTAAGGGGTAAGACACTGTTTCGTTTCCAGGAGAAACGAGAACCAAGACACAATTTCTTAGATTAGGTTGTCTTGGATACGAATGCGGAAGAGGGTTTGAGATCAAAGGCGGTCGGGCAGATGGCTTGATTGATTGAGGGAATAGTTATCGATACAACCCAAATAGGGATTAGTATTAAGAATATACGAGTAATATTATCGCAAGGCCGGGTATGATTTTCGCAAGGTTGTTGTTTATCACGAACGAGAAAAGGGGGGGAAGACGGAAACGAAAAACAATAATAAAAAAATATAAAATAGTTGAAGGTCTCTCTTCCGATTGAGAGTGTGTTGATCATCGAGTCAAAGGGTGGACATGACCCAACGCCTAGTGGGGTGGTATGACGACACTGACGAAGCTATTGGAAGAGCTCGTTACCTAAATCAGACTAGCCCTGCCGAATAGCCTGATAATGCATACATAGTAAGTGCCAAAGAAGCTACATCCGCATCTCTCTTCCCGGCAAGACCCTTTAACTTTATGATTGCCCCATTTTGTACCTTCTACTGATTAATATACATGTATGCATTAATTCGTACATGAATAGGTAGGTACCTAAGGTACCTCATAAAAATAAAATAAAATAAAAGATGTTTGTTAAGTAAAAGCAGCTCTACTCACACGTCATCTATATGGCTCATTCAAAGAAACCAAAAAGAGACGAAGCTGAATCATCGTGATAACATGGCCCCGATGATCACCATGATGCCGAGTCGTCGTCATTCTCGCGAGGCTTAGAGATAGCGATAACGTGGTGCTACGCTTGCGGCATGTCCTCCGAGGTATCCGGCATCCGGCATCCGAGTCTAGAACACCGTAATACGTATTCTCTTCTTTTCTTCTCGAAACATTACCGTGGTGCTTATGTAAGTACCTAACCTACACTACATATCGAGCTTCTATCGGTCAAGGCATGAGTGACTGAGGCCACCAGAACAGGGGTTAATTCCGAAGTCCGCTAGTCAAATGTGTACGCTCTCTACGACTTGAAGTGGTCTTTTACATACTTTATATTAATGCCTCTTTGCTGACGACGCTTAATTTATTCTCGTGTGTCCCGTAAAGACACGGAATATCTATTTTCTTCGGAGTCGGAATTCAGACTGAAAGGCTAGCAGATTGGGCCTGTCCATATACCTGCTTAGGGATGGGCTGGAATTTATTATTTTATTCAATCAATTATTACTATTATTACTTAAAGGATATTATTACCTGATACAGAGGTGATACCTACTGATATAACCACCTAGTTGTGATGATTCCACATGGTAAGGCTTATGTCTCTCAGTCATAGCCTGTGTATCGTGGCTACGTGTGGAAACCAAATAAAGTCTAGGATATACCGACCGCGCTCTTTCCAGCTCCAGCCCCTATCAATAAGTATTGTTTGTAGTTTTGTAGGCACCTAGCGCTATGAAGAGCGGCTGTATCAGACTTAGGATACAGATCGGCGGATCAACTCACCATATAACTTGGGCTGTTTTAAAAAATTAGTATGCAACTTACCTTGAGGCTATTGAGATGAGCACAGGAACTAAAATCCGCCGCCAGCCCGGGATGTGAGACGCCTATAGATACGTAGTAAGAGTGTAAATTAAGACGGGCTTTGATTTCGCTACACTGGCATCCTTTATTGCTATCTCATGTTAGCACAATAGCTGCTTAGGTAGCTGATTGGAGTCTAAGGAGTTTCCTTTTGTTTACTCCCATTTTCCATTGTATTCAAATGTCATAATCAAATTGTTCAAGAAATTTCCTTTTACATTTACCTAAGGTAGTCACCTATCTGGACAACTAATATGATATGAGGTTTAAAGTCTACCCGTTTATAAATAATTAGGGCTCGCCACAATTAGACTTTAGGAGCTTTGAAGAACCACAAACCATAAACTAGGAGAAAAATATCGTGCCGCGAAACCCTATGGACAGAATATAGAAATTCATTTTTAAGGTAAATCGTAGAGTGCCCGGGTGTAATCATTGATTTCTGATCCTGTCGAATCGACCATTTCTTAGCACTTTCCCCCCCGAACATGTTAGCGAGACGATACTACATACTCCTGAAGAAGTAATCATGTCTATCCCACTTATTGTTTTCTATTTACTGCTACTAGCTTGGATCATCGTCGGGATCACCTCTGGAATGTTTATTCTTTACATGAAAAAATGGTACGACCTAGCACAACAATCTGACGAACCGGATGAACATACCTTTCTGATCCAAGGACCAAGCGTGCGAAGATCAGGCTATCTTTCCGATGATGAGCTTAGCTTTGATGGTTCTGATAATTACGACGAATCTCTCATGTCGGTTGAGATAGAGCCTATTAACAGGTATGAGTGGTATATGTATATTGTCTGATGGACTCCATGCTTTGTTATACCACTGCTAAACTTCGTTACTCAACAGCTAGCCGTTACGCGAAATACGGCCGATTTACTTCTCGTCAAATACCTATCGCCATTTAATAACTCGACGGAAAGCTACGACAGAAGCCACGAGGTCCCCTATATAAGCTCCGCGGGATGCTAGATGATAGATGAAAACCACTTTCTGTTGACGGGAGGTGGATATAATAACAACCACTATGGAGGGTACGGTTTGGATAAGAAGCGCAAGATGAATCACGTTATATCATGGGACATTTGTCAGGGTGGCTACAGGGGTCTGTCTACGACTATATAAGAGGCGCGAAGCGCCCTCGTCAGAGGATAGAAGGCCAGGCGTTACTAGTTCAATACAATCTATTACTTGGTCTACCTACCCTCGACACTCACTTTGTGTATGACTAACCTCAAAGGGCATCTGATCCTGACACATTTATGTCTAACGAATAATCCTTCTACACTGCCACCACCGTCACCATAACCACTACATCAAACCACCGCTAGCACTACTATTCCTACCACTGATGCTGTTGCTGAAAAGCCGTACAACCCATGTTTATATTTATTTCAACTACCACAGGAACAACCTATAAACCAAGAAACTTTTGAATAAGAGTCTAAAGAGTTTAGGAAGTGGCTGTATAGGAAAAAGGGAACGTTTGCCCTTTGTTCGTTGGTTTGGGGGGAGCTTGAACAATGGCCTATATATTTCTAACTTCTATTACTTATATATCTCTTCTGTTTTTAAATTTAAAGATCACAACTAATTCTATGTCTCTTTAAGGAGTCACGCCTTGTTGATTGTGTTAGTGATTGAAATATCTGGTTGGCTATTATATTATAAGGGGGTGGGACATTCTAGGACATGACAAGAATGGGGTAGCGATATATTTATGAGTTATAAGCAAGATACATGGTACTGTATTGTTTCTATGTTAAGTTTACGCCTTAATACTTAGGTCATTTTGTTATGGGGATAAATAGTAGGTACAGAGGGTACTGGAAATAATACAAGCTCTTGTAAGGTTGATAGACCAACCGTTACATCTACGGCTCTTTTAGAATTGGCGATGACTTTTTTTTAAAAATTTTTTTTTTAATTTTCTTTTAATTTGTAATGATTGGTATCTCATGCAAAGCGGTAGCAGCACCTCCCCCCATAAAATGCTTATTCAAACGCATCGTAGAATGGCTATATCGTTGACTACTATTGTACCCAGGCGTGTCTGCCTCTAAAAACATAAATAAACCTAGACTGGACATGGCGATCACGAAATGAATATCGAAGACATGAAAATAACTCTACTACCCCCTAGAGATATCTATACGAAGCAAGACAGTAATTATGTGTAATATTAAGGGTAGTCGACGGAACAGTTGCTGGATAGTAGATCTATACAAGGGGGACATATCCCCCTATTCTGAGATGAGCTATGGGTTGAAACAACCTTCGGTGTACTACAAGCCAGGCCTATGCTTCCCAATCTGTGTAATTTGATCCCTGTATAGCACTCACCGAGATAATACATAATTGGACATGATAAAGTAGGTTGTATATAAGTACAGAGCGAGAGTTAGCCGGAAACCCCGTTACTACTGAGCACTATCTAAGATAGCATTGCCGTCTTATTTCTACAAATAGAAAATAAAAGCTCGTAATTCGAGGTTCAGATGATATTGAAAGAGAGCCTGGTTGATAGGTGCTGTTATATTCCAAACTAACCAGAAAAGAGACCTTAACACTACCACTAAACATTATCAAGCCCCTTGGAGATAAATGAAACATCGTGACCACATTCTGCAATCGATGATTATCGGCATTTGTTAGAGCGTAGAAATTAGCTAGTTGCTGTCCTACTCAGCCCGGGTATAAGGTGGCAAAGTACTGCCGTGCTTGTGCCGAGGTCTTGTGACATGGTAATAGGTCAAATTCGCCGAAAAGCTCCTTGGGGGAAGCTGACGGAAAACGATGCTCTCCATATCAGTAACCAGCTGACTATGCTATGACTATGCTATGACCGCGTATTATTGTAATGGTTCTATTTGATTTTTTCAGGCACGAACTTTCGTATCCATGTAACATTTGACAGGAGGGTAGAGGATCGACGGGATGTGCATCGAGAGAGTGCCTTTCGAGCATAGCTAAAGTATCCCGACAGATACCGACATGGAAGAGTCGGGTATTTGCGATTGCATTCAGCTAATCAGCCCTGAAGGCGGGATTGGCAAGGTACGTTTCCTTGTTTTCTCGAGATCCTTTGGGCAGGCGTTCGACACGGTGGATACGGAGTCCTCTCCGTGGTGCTGGAGTTGAAATGCCCGACTAGAGCCGAGGATGGACGGTAATCTTGGGTGAAGATCTTTCCGCCTTACATGGGATTGATTTGTAAAAGAGAGCCCACGCCGGGCCGTTGGCATAGGGCGCACATTCCTTCCTCATCCCGGCCGTTTAATGTTAAGGTGCATAAACTGGATGTTGGGCCTGCTCACTTACATATGCCATTGTTGGACAAGTATGTAGTTGGACAGGTATACACCGTTACACGTAGTCTCGGCTCCTCTTCTCCCTCATCCATGGTTCGGTAGTGTCTGGTCCGAACGGAGCCGCACGAGATTACTAGTCTGCTGCGCATACAGGAGATAGGTACGATACATACGATACATGCGATACTTAGGATACGAAGTGATAATAGTAGACCGACAGTGAATTAAACACACTCCCTGCCCCGCCCCGGAGCAGATCATTCACACTCAGCTGCCAATCAACCTGGGGCGTCTAATAAGCGAATTCCGTATTTGGCAATGAAGTGCCATAACCTTCGGCTCTTGACAGGTTTGTACCATTGAAGTACCGGGCACCGGCGGGAACGTACACCCCCGGAAGGCTAGATGTTAGGGTAATTTGGATATAACAGACAGGTATCTTGCGGCTGATGTGAGCAGAGAAAAGGAGGTAGCCATCGGTGATCATGTGCGCGATCTATTATGCGGTGAGCAAGGCAACCCAATGTTGCAACGCGCAAGTGCTTACATGTATCTCCCAAGTATATGTTTTTCTCCTAGTTAGGTACCTAGGTAGTTATGTATTAAGAGAGAATCATTAGAATAGAAGCTGTTTTGAAAGCGGCGCAGTTGGTGATGTTTTCGTGGTGGACTAGACTGGATTGGACTAAGTGAGGTTAGTTAGACTTTAACGAACAAGTCGAATTCGATACGTTTGTCAGCAAATAAAGAATAAAAGCCGAGACTGAAGAAGTGGAAGAAAAAGCAACTAAGGCAACTAACCCAGGATAGGCAAAGACGGCGAGTAACGGGTAACAACAAGATTACGCTAGTGCAATCTTTGTTACTTTTCACAAAAACGCAAAACGCTTTTAAATCGCCAAGAAATGACAGCTCACAAACCGAAGATTATGATGGGAAACAGGGATCAAGGCTCTAAGGACCCCCTGCTGGATCGTCCCGTGCCATGGACCCATCGTATGTACGGATTAGCTCGCTTCGTCACCGACAATAAGTGGTCTGAGCTCAAGCTATCTTCACCTTGAATATCCCTGCTCTTTCCCTGTTATGTACATATATTCCGTATATATCCTTACCTTAGCAGCTTAGGTAAACAGTCTAAGCCTGCACGGCGCTAGGAACAGGGTTATGAGGTACCTTAGTAAGTTTATACTAGTTGAGTTACGTATAGTTACCTTACCTAATACAGCAAGATTTACATAGGAACAATCTCAATTCATTCTCTTTTTCTTCCAATATATTTTCGACCTCGGCTTTGCTCCGCTTTCTATCATTATTATCCATCTAACTAGTTACCCTTAAGTGTAAGGTAGTTCGTAGTATGCAGTAGTACCTACCTGTTTTTGCACTCTGTTAGAGAAAGCAAGCTTTAGACAGGCCAGGTTAAAATATATCCCTCTCTTTTATCCCTCCCCCTCCCCCTCCCCCTTCCTAGAGTGTGACATCCAATGCCGCTCCGCCACATCGCCATCCCCTCGTGGCCCCGGACTACGCCGCCCAGATACCCGACCTATGTCCTGGCGACCCGCATCCAGTCGAGGTTGCAGAAGGAACTACTGGCCTGGAAGGCCCTGCGAGACGACCCACGGCGACGACCTGATGCCCCGCCTCCGCTTCCCACCCTCATCTCCTTTACCCCGGCGCCCACATATACTCTCGGCAGGCGGCAGACCGAGCCACTATCCGCCTCCGAGCTCGCGCGTTTGCGCGCCCCTCTCTCCGTATCATCGCCCTCCCGCGACGATCACGAATCTATCACCACCGCCGTCTTCGCGCCTGAGGTCTTACACGCGCCCCGCGGCGGGCTGACTACGTACCACGGTCCGGGACAAGCCGTGCTCTGGCCCGTTATAGACTTGCGGTCCCCGCTACATGCGCACTTCTCCGTGCGCGACTACACCTGTCTGCTGGAAAAAACCACTATCGCGACGCTGCGTCGGGTGTATGGCGTTGCCGGATTTACGACCTCGAACCCAGGGGTGTGGGTGCTTAAGGATAATGACTTGTCGAGAGACGAGGAAAAGATCTCGGCGCTAGGTGTTCACCTTCGGCGGCATGTGACGGGTCTCGGCGTCGCGGTCAACGTCGGCGTCTCGGTTACTGGGTCCGAGGCGACGAACCCGTGGGCGCGAATCGTAGCGTGTGGGTTGGGGGATAGGGGTGTTACGAGTATCGCCGCGCAATTAGACTTGCTGCCCACTCACGAGATCGCGCCTGAGGATATCGCGGCAGAATGGGCTGCCGAATTTGCCGAGAGGCTGGAGCTACCTGGTGCCGCTGTGGAAGAAGAGGACTGGGAGATGTGGGAGAAGGAATTGCAAATCGAACCGGTGGGACCAGGCACGGATGCTGGATTTGTCGAGGGTCGAGTGATGCAATCATGATTCGTACTACACTCTGCCGCCTTGAGTCCTCTTATTATCGGTCCATATGGTATATACGTCATGTCTATGATACCCATTTCACGTTCTCTCTTCCAAGTCTTATGCCAACGAATCACGTGCTCGCGTACTGAGCCAGACAACGAAGTGCAGAGGGTCATCGTGGGGGTTTGATCTGTAAGGAGAGATACCACGAACAATGAACAATTGTTCCACGAAGCAGGGCTAGCCACGCCAGGGCCACGCCCCTCCCGATCGATCTATGTACACACGCGCTGGAGTACGGGTATACACACGTACATACATACATACATACACACACATATACGTACTTATTTATTCATCACGATTGCTCATAACCTCCCAGTCCCGAAAAGCCAGAAGCCAGAAGCCAGAAGCCGACAGCCAGCAGCTAGGCCTACGTATACGCGACCCTCCCCACCACCAAGCCTCCTAACTTAACCAACACTACATAGCAACCGGACATCCGCTCGAAGCGCTCGGTCGCCGGGCGGGCTGCACGACGGACGGGCCGCTCCTATCTATCTATCCATCCATCCATCTGTCTTGTCTGCCTGCCTGCCTGCCTGTCTGGAAGGAATCGTATATACGAACGAATCAATCAGTGAACACGCGCTGCGGACACCATCATCAGGGATGCCAGGATTCCATGCAGCGGTCCGCGGCCGATGTCGGCGTTAGGTTAAGATTGAAGGACAAGTACATACCTAAAGGTATTCACGTTGGGGCAGGATAGGATAGGATAGGATAGGATAATACCTAATGTATGATATGGTATGGTATGTACTGTGCAGGAAAGCGGACAGGACGGACAAGCTTTTCAGGCAGGGAAGAGAAAAGCACGTACACATATATAGGTATTTGGCTGGGTAGCGAGCGGCAAAGTGCAGTCTTCTAATCAGAGGGCGACGTGGCTTACCGTCGTGCTCTTACTTTCTGCACCAAGAATTGGCTACCTTGGCTGCTTGGCTACCTAGACATGTAGGGACTGAAAAGTAAGCGAGTTACATACCTACTGGGATCGAGGATGCCAAGGTGTTCAGTGTCCAGTGTCTGATGCGCGGCCGGGTCTAGCTAGTCGAGACCAATTAATCCTTGCTCTTCGTTGGCTCGTGCTTCCGTTCTAGAATTCAAGGTAACAGCAGCTACTTCGATACGGCTATTGGACCACATTTACGAGGCATTTACATACTTTACATACTGATACTGAGAAATATTTATTACGAATATCATGAATCATACCATAAACGTCAGATTAAAATATCATATTAGTTTCTGCTCGAACTTTATTAACTCATCTGCGTTCGGCTTTGCCGATTATTTCGAGGGGTTGCGGATACACATGGAATTTTATCCTGTTTGCCCTCTGGTCCGTATTACATACCAAACTCGTAGGCCTTGAATTCTTGTATTAGGGATACCGGATACTCCATCTCATTATTTCGTGTCGGTGCTAATTAATGATACCGGCCGGCAAGACGGTCGCGTACCTTGCAGTCTTTCATTACCAAGTAACGCCGTGGGTGTAATAGACGGGAAGTGTCACCGCCCCCAAACGGAAGAATGCTAATGGGACCGGGGAAAAAATTACCTCTAACCCCTGTTCTCTTTTTTGATGACCGCGCAATGTTCGCTACTCCGTTTCCGACCGCTGCCTTTTCCATGTGGTATCTCTTCGTCTGCCTCTGGCCTGTACATTTCAGGCTGGAAATTCATGTTATTGTAATGAGCCACATTGAAATGGCTGTTTTTGAAGGTATTCGTCGTGAAAGCTGGTTCGTGAAACGTGTTGGTCTCAACTAAGTCGGGGAAGTTATATTTACTGAAGCGCAGTGGGTGCAATGTCATGGGGGTTGCTGGTTGTTGCTGCGGAGGACTCGGCTGTGGAGGTGGAGGCCCAGTAGCTAGGCCATCTGGGAACGGCTGCGGCATCCATGGCGATTGCGGAGAAGGGGCATAAGGATCTGTCATAGGAGACGGTGCGGCCGGAGATCCCAAGGGGGATATATCGGGAACACCAAAACCAGGTATCATAGCCAATGTACTCATGTCCACCGGGAAATCTTGAAGCGGCATATCTGTGCTTTCAATTTCTTGGTGCGTGAAGGGCGTTGCCCGATTGATCGACAGTGTAGTTAGTGCGGGTGGCATAGGCGAAGGCTGGACGACAGAATCGCGATACAAAATATCGTAATGACCCGGACGGTACAACAAGTAGATTATTGGTCCTAATGTAGCCGGGTCCTGACCGTTAGCTTCTTCGGGCATCCGATGAATATTGGCTTCCACGCCGTCGCTCCGGTCTAAGTAGACGATCTCGAGTACGATATTCGCTGGTTTGAGTAGTACGTCGTGAAGCAGCACAACACCTACGTGGTCGATCTCCCGGTCAATAGGCAGGATGGTATCTTGAACGTAGCTCTCGGCGCCACCTGTTATCCAGGGCTCGTAATGGGCATAACGACCCTTCAACCATGACGATGCGAGCAAGCGCTGATGGTAGACGATAGATTGCGACTTCTCAGGATTGTTGAAGGTATCCATCACAGTTAGCATAGCATCTTGGCCACTGGACATCGCTCCGATGATCTCGTTGAATAAGTCAAATGTTACGGCAACCATATCCTCGAATAGCCAGACACTATGCCCCCCAACGGTCTCGATGAACTTGTTCAAGCTTGTTAACCGAGCCAACTCGCCCTGGACTTGATTTATATCGCCGCATCGTACTAACGTCTCGAAATAACCGAATGCGATGGCTACAACGATACAACAAAGAGTCAACTCGGCAACCTATGAGTCTGAGAACTGGGTGAGGTGATGGAAAAGTTGAATATTGTCCCCACTACATTGCCTTATCTTCGCAGAAGTAGATCATCGATCGATCGAAGAATATTCCAGATAGGACCCAGATCCCAAATTGACTTGGCTACGCATGAACTGCGGGGTATGCGTATGTGATGCAGGAGGATCCTCGAGATATATTAAGTAGGAAATCTGTCAGAACTCACCTCGCCAACCACAATTACCGTCACCTTGGACAGGGCGATAGTGGGAATAGGTATGGGGTAATGCCTACGATGTCACGACGAGTCAATTGGAAGAGTTCGATTGTATTGCTGGAGCTCGGGTTTGACTAACCACAGTTTTTGCGACATATATGGGATCTGCTTTCGCATACTCCTCCGTGATTATCGTGCTCGATCTTCTTTCGCCGACTAAAGGACTCTGTATGCCGTTGAAATGTGAGCGTTTTGATGATTTCGCGTGGAGACGAGAAAGGGCAATGTGCAAAGCGCGAAGTGTACTGGCGATAGGAGCTAAATATATAGCTATATACGTGTAGATAGGATGGTCGACGACAATAGAAGAGTATCGCAATAAAAACAGTACTTACCACTAGCTGAGGCTCAAATTCGCGAGCTGCAGCCTCTTGCTGAGCAAGGTCGGTTGGGTGTGGTGGTTCCATCTTGATGTTGCAATGATTTCGATGATGATTGTGGGGTATCGCCGGGTTGTTCGTATTGGTACTGTTGGTGTTGTAAGGAATATGACCCGAATTGCTTGCAGGAGGCGGTATTAGAGGATTATGACTATGGTAGATGGGAGATGCGAAGAAGTCGACGGCTGCTGGTCTACCGCCTGCAACTGCACCGGCACCGCCAGCTTGCGCCGTCCCGAATTGTGCCAGCGGAGTGGGTTGAAAGGCGTATTCGGGGACTTCTGCGTTGGCTATGTGGATTCCATAGGAAGCGTATGAGGAATATGGGGTGGGTTGAGGCTGGAACATGCCTGTGCCTGGGCTTGACGAGCCAGAGCTTGACCCCAAGCTTGGGAGCTTCGGGTCATGAAAGCTCTAAGTACGTAACCGGGTGGATGGTCTTTGAAGTTCGGGGTGGGCTTCCTAGCTGCAAGTAGCTCAAAGCTCATAGATTAACCTTAGTTCCGTCTGGATCCGCCTGGCTGCTCTCGTGCAAGGAATTATTATGGCTTCTCTTCGGGCTGTAACCAGCAGCGACAGATGAAAGAGAAACGAGAGTGATAAAAAAGAAGGAAGCAGGAAAGAGAGAGAGAGAGAGAGAGAGGGCAGGAGATAGGAGGAGGAGGGAAGAGGAAGAGGGAAGAGGGAGAAGGAAGAAAAAGAAGGAAGTAAGAGAAGACAAGAGGGGATCCAGAGAGTTGGTAACGGGCGGGTTTTTGTCTAAAAGGAAGATGAGCACCGAGTGGAAGCGATCAATCAATCAATCAAGGCCATCAAAGTCGGGGTTACACATCTAGCGGTAGTGGTACCGACCCCCCTGCAACAGGGGGTTGCTTATGTGGTAAGTGAGGTACCTACCTAAGTATTGTACCTAGTACTCTAGACGTAGGGAAGTTACCTCAAGCTACCAAGGTAGGTACTCGTTTGTATACTTGCATAGTGCTATATATAAGTACCTAATAGGGTGTATGTATACGCTTTGAAGTCACGTAATCGCGATACATGTCTATTTACCACTCGTACATATACATACTCAAGTATAGATCTAGTTATATGAAAAACAGAGATATTTACCCCTTATAGAATCTGGGCGATTCTATCACTTTTCTAACCGATGGCTGATATTAGATTGGTATAACATGACCTAAATACATTTATTAGGTACATATGTAAAATACTATGTATAGAGATACATATGGATATTCAAGGTTTAATGTTTAACGGGAAGTTCCCGTTCACCTCTTTATGTATGTACCTCTCGAAGATAAAAGTGCACCTGGGTAATACCCCACTCGCGATAGTATTAGTATACATCTACGTCTACGTATAAGTGCCTTAAAAGGATTGCACATTATCTATTGCATGTACGCCTCTACTTCGTGCGTAGGTACTTAAGTTCCCTACATAGAACCTCCTTACGAAAGGTTTACCTATAATATAAGTCCAATATATGTAATCGATGACCTATCCAATTTATCTGTAATATGTAAGTATGTAAGAAGACAAAGTCCACGACTTACACGTGCAGGAGTACGGCAGACCCCTGAGAGTGTTACCTAGAAAAATCCCCTGTAAATTGGGATACTCAAGGTATTACCTAGTAATTACTTAGGTATTGTACCTTAGGTACCTAAGCAGCTAAGGCAGGTAAGGTCTGTGCGTTTATGCTTCGAGCTACAGTAGTTGGTTGGGCTTGACGTCGGTTAGCGATCACAAGAGATCAACAGGTAAAACGGTTAGGTACCGAGTAGCACAGCGGTGCCTAATAATGTCTACGGTGTATATCGCTAACTTCTGCCTTTCTAATGTTAGAAAAGAAGCCACTTTTGATCATCCTCCCGCGTTTTTCTACCAAGTATGCATAAACCACACCTTATAGTCTTATAATTCATGTTAAATATCTAAGATTAATCTACTTCCACAGATGCATAGATAATGCACTATATTTGAGCCAGTCAAAACTTCTCAGTCAAAACTCCTATGTTGCATTGTCGGCCTTGTGGCTTGGCTGGCTGGCTGGTGGCTGGCCATCATGTGTGATAGTTCTATATTTCCTCAGGACGGAGGATGGGCTAGGTAATAGGCGTAAAAGAATTGGACTAACTGTTGACTACCTTAGCCTGATGATCGTTCGTCTATGTACATACATACATGGTCCATCAGTCTACTATTTTCGACATATCACTTTTAGGTACTACGGATTATCTACCTGGTATAATTGTACGTTGAAGTAGAATCCTTCACGCTATTAAACCCGAGAGAACTTTTACCCAGATCTTTCCTTACCCCAGACTGGTGCTTACGATGGATGCAGCACCATGCTCTGATGGGTAAGGTATATCGATGGCCAAGACCGCTACGTACCTTCTCTCATGGGTACCGGAGGATTGCGAAGCACGATCGTTGCGCGATATCGTCAACTTCACACGGTTATGGGGGCATGGGAGCTGAGTAGTGCATCTTCTAATCCTCATTCGTCGTTGGTCTTTCAGTTGGGTCATTTGATTGATTTTTGACGATAAAAACCGGCCAGAAAGCATGGGCAATATTAGACTAGCTTTCCCGGTCAGCCCAAGAATCAGGATTCTCCGGCGCCAAAAAGGAAATCTCTCCAGCGGCTGAAGCGTTACAGAATTGCCAGACGGCCCGGAAAACGCAAAACAGATGCAAAGCAAAAACAAGCAAGCAAACCCGTAGTAGCAGGGAAACGTCATTTGGTGGCAATTATACCTAAAGAATGGGTGATACACGGCCTGCCTACCACCTATGCCAGCTATGCATACCGTACATATCGTACATACGTGTTATACTGTCAGTTCATGAACCTAACTACCTAGGTACCTAGCGTAAACTTCATGCGCGTGGGTCGGGATATGTGTTGGTGGCACGAGGCAGACCAGCACAAAGAAAAGCCATCGTAACACAGCATCACAAGCGAAGATGGAAAGTATGTATCATCATCATCATCACGTCGTCCTAACGACGCCGAATTAGACCAATCCACCCACCAATCCGCATCATGCTCTGCGTGACAAGCTTTTTGAAGAACATTATTAGAATTGGTGCTCAGGTGAGCCTCATGATGGCGCGAGATGGATACGTCGAGTAACTACCTACCTACCCAAGTAAGTAGGTAATGGTTTATTAAAAAAATTAACCCAGAAAATATAGGAGTAGCGCCGTTATTTCTGACCATAGACGGACTTGCGAGGGGAAGGCCACGTAGGATCCATGGGTCTTTCTGCCTCGTCCTTAAGAGGATTTGATTAATACTCCCGGAAACCTTAGGGCTGAAAAGACGGTGTGAGATGAAATCATGTTTATATGTTCTGTTCGAAGAACAATACCGCAACGATCGCCCAATAACTGGCAATAGTAGGTTGGGATTGGTAATAAAGAGCGGATATATCTACTTCGGGACTTTCTTCACAGTTCATCTTGTAAGTCGAGCTAAGACCCGGGCTTATACCTACCTATCTGATATCCATCAGTTGAAGGATCGTGGGTGAACTCCAACGGGGGCCCATGCCAAGTGCTACCTATTACTACGTACATAATTAATGTATGTACATTCTAGCTTTAACCCCGCCTTCCCACCGCCACCGCAACACGGTACTGGATCCATCTAAGACTTATATGGCGATAAACCAGCACCGATATGTATGCCAAGGGCTAACAGGTCCGGAGCGTCGCAAAGTTATCGATATGCTACGTTTCTATCACCAAGCGAAAGCCTTATGCGTCCCTCGAGCTCTAGAGATATTAAGTGGTACCGAGTTTCTCTATGTATAAGTTCTGTAAACCGAATCGAAGACGTCGGCAACACGCCTCCCCCATTGGGGTCATCTATCGAACATCCGAGATTTCTTCCAGAACATCTTACCTATATGCACGTCTTACAGCTAGCTTATTCATACCAACCATATCTAGTGTTGGGGAATTCAAGCCTCCGTAGACGACTCCTCAGTACCCTCTGCAAATCAACTAACTTTAGACCTTTCTAGTATTAAACCCGGGAGCGGTGGACTAAGAGGTGCTTCATTTGTTACCGTGCGGTGGATCAATGATTACATGCTGGAATACGTTTTCCATTCGCGTTGAGGTCACCCACCCTCGGCCTATAGTAACACCCTTGAAGCACCGCGATATGTGACTCCTAGAAGAGATTACGGCCGCTGCCCTTATGATTCGCTGGCTGTCATTCCATCCAAACTGCACGGCTACTACGCTTCGGCTTCTAGTTAAAGCCATTGGAGACCAAAGCCGCTGTCGGCAGCGACTCAGTGTACTCGGAACTCTCGGACCAACAATGAGTATCGCATTAACACGTGCGTCAACAGATATCAGGGTCCAGTAAGTGGACTGCGAATCTAGAAGAGAAGCGGGAATATCCGCCTGCCTTACCTCTCTCATTACAACCTCAGCCAGTCTCCTTTACGTATTAGACCATAAGTCTTCCGGCAAGCTACAATCTATACATTGATTAGAGCTCGAGCTAAGCTTGGGGGCTATGGAAGCATCCGGATTTATCGTAATATCTGCATAAAATCAAAGAGATCGACACTTGGCCGCCGCCGTAGGATTGGAACAGCCTAGCTATTCGGCACGCTCATTGGATAGGAGGTAGCTCCATAAACTATTCTACGCCTCTATTTCTGGGCCATTGAAATGATGGAATTTAAGCTCTAATCTCTGGAGAGCATACGTGGGTAGATACGCGACCTAGAATTCTTGTACGTGAGGTTGGGATCGTACAGCCAACGGCGTTCTGTCAATTTGGTCTGCTGTACGCTCTGTCACGTACAACCTACTGCATACTATCAAGTATATTCGTACTATCATATTACACAGCAGGTAAGCTGTATAGAGGGAATATGCAAGGCGTTTTCATACGAATCATATTAGCTCTTAGCTAAATGCACCCTAGGATCTATAGTTGCTTATAGGCAAAGACATCGTATCGCCTTTTCGCATATCATCGTCCAGGTTCGTGCGTAAGAAGGACATATGAAATGGAGAATATCGCAGAGCCAGACCGATCTTTCAAAGAATCTGGACCTCAATAGGCCTATCATTCTTGGCCCATCCGTATATCGAAATTCGAGCATGTTTTAACAATTATGACGGCCTTCAAGAAAAGCATAGTTATGCTGTAAGCAGGCCAAGCCAACCAACGGGAGCGTGCAGAAAATCGCGATATGTGTTACGCCAAGCCGGTGAAATACCTACTTAGGTAGTGTGGACGCCCACGACGCAAACCGCCGGCCACTGCTGAGATTTCGCTACAAATGAAGCAGCATCAACATCCACCCGCTACTTGTATTACCTCCCGCAAACGGACACGAGAGGGCGAGGTCGCATTAGAACCAAATATGTCCTCAGTACCATTGCTTTTAGACTACATACACGACCGCCGAGGAGCCTTGTTACGACCTGTCACGTAGTTCAAGATGGGTGAGGAGATGGATCTCCCGATAGTTCCCTTCCCATCTATAATCCGCATTATGCCGGTGTCCACTCGGCATACCTCATTCGTCAGTCTAGGATGGCCTGCAGGATTCCCGCAGCGAGCACCATACCTAGAGGATCAAATTATTTTTTATA